TACTAGTGTTGACTACCCTCCAATCCCTTTAGAACAAGAAGAAGGCTCAAAGCCTTTTGCTCCAATGGTTGTCACTGTGAGTTTTCTCATCCGTCTTATAATTGTTCACTTATTGTGAAGATATTTCCAATAATAAGAGAAGAAAAGAGATGGGAAAAAGAGATTATTATCATTGACACTTATAGTGCGTGCATATAGCATTGGTATAGCTATACAATAGAAAGTGCACATAACAAGACCACTATCAGCAAAAATCAATAAAAGTCAGTGGTTCTGACCATAAAAGTATAAAACTCAATTGATCTTTAATAAACAAACCAGTTGTTCTAACCGAACAGTGGAAGTATTCATTATTAATCAGAAAATTTCAGCTCTGTTCATTATTAACTCACTTAAATAAAATGTCTTATTTTTTAATAACTTGCTGTATATTGTCTGTTATACTAGTATATCTTCCCTTTTTTCTGGTTGGACAAACGGCTGTATAATACGAGCATTCCTTTGTCATAGGGATTACTTAACTCTGAGGGTGGTTTAGGCCCCATTTCATGGTGGGTATAATTCCCAACTACTGGAACTGATCATCACAGCAAGAATTAGACCTATGAACATAAATCTCGATTGTTGAAGTTGATTGATACAGAAATAACCAGGCCTGATCATCGAAGTCATTCTAACAATCAAGTCGCAACGAATCTGCTGAACTTGGTTCCTCCTGGTGCAATGTTCAGCTTGGTTACTCACTAGCCTTCTTTGACACATGAGGAATATACTCCTTGTAACTTCTAGTGCAATGCAAGAGAAATGAAAGACAACTTTGTATAATATTTTTTAAAGGGAAGCCCATTTGTCCAAGGCCATGATTCTTGATCCAATTTTGCCCCAGCCACCAATCATGACTCTTAACCCATTTTTTTTTATTTTTATTTTTTTTTATAATTTCATCCACCTATACAATATAGATATGGTGTATAGTACTCCGAATTTCTTAAAAGTCTTATGCTTTTGATTAATTATGATTTATGAATTATATGTTGTGATCATTTTCCAATTTTGCCCTTACCCCCTTAATTACTTGTCACACCTAGGGATCTCAAATTCTCAATGGGGAGGGGCGGGGCGGATGTTAGCCTTCCCATCCCCATTCCCATCCCCATCCCCACCTAATATTTTCATCCCCATCCCTGCGGCGGGTCCAATTTTCATCCTCATCCCCGTCCCACCGGGTACAACTCCAAAATCATCCCCGCCCCACCCCCCACTTGGATATCCATCCCCACCAAAGACCTGCCTAATCCCCACCCAAGATCCACCTAATATCCGTATCTCAAATACACAATCTTACATAATTAATACGAATTATAAAATAAAACATTCTATACACATTTTTGTGTTATAAAATAAGTGTCGTACAAAGTATTATAATTAATATTGTATTTCATGTAATTATTTTATAAATAGAATAAAAGTATGTAATTTTGCTTTAAAAGATATATAGGTGTGGGTATGAGATGGGAATGGGGCGGGTACGAAGTGAGGCGGGTGGGGGCGGGGCGGGTACAACTTAAAATCCACCCTCGCCCCATCACCCATGGCGGGTATGGTTTTTATCCCCATCCCCGTCCCACCACCCGCCAAACCGAGACCCATCCCCGTCCCATTGGGGCGGGTCTCCTACTTGACCCGCCCAAGTGACATCCCTAGTCACACCCCTCCATTCTCTCATCAACATCCAAACCCAAAAATGCCCGGAAAAAGTTATCACATTTTATTCGAAGCAAAGGTTAATAATTGAATTTTCATATATGTATGCCATGTATGTATAAAACCATGTATTGAGATTTAAGAGAACGTGAATTGATCTTGAAACGAGGGACGTATATTATAGAAACTAAAACGGTATGTGACATATGAAGTGGAGTACTTGATAACTAGGGGTGGTTTTCAGCTTTTGATATGTATGAATGAATATGAATTATCTATGTTATTTCAATAACTTTGCTTAGAATTCATAAAAACAGTTCAATAAAAAGAAATATTAGTGCTTGTATTTGACAATGGACATAGAATAGAGGTGGAGGCTGAGTAAAACCCGCTTGGTGAAATGAATGAGCATGGACATGGCACGTGATTCAAGCTGTATGTCTTGGATTCCTTTCTCAAACATTAATTGCATTGTTACTCTTAAAATGTGCTATGTTAATTTTGCTAAATTTTAGCTGAAACACCCCATTTTAATAAATTATTTGAAATTTTTTAATTATTTTAAAAAATTATTCATAGTGAATTAGACATGATTAATGAAGAGCAAGAATCTTTTTGGGTAATAGCAATGGCTCATAGAGTCATAGGTTGAATTATGAATATCAATTGCATTTTATATAGTTGGTGACTTGATGGTGAGATTGAATCATACAATGAGTAATATTATCCAAATCTTGAACATGATTTGTGGATCAAAGGCTGACTTATTGTATTAGAAACCAAATCCAAGCAGTAAATCTAAATTAACATTTACTTTGTACTCTAGATAGCATGTTGACATCAAAGCCTTTTGCTATAGCTATATGCGATAAACAACCTAGAAATTCTTATGAATAACGTATTGACTATACTTTATTAAAAATTCTATATTCATATATTAGATGATTATTCCATAATTTCGAAATTAAATGAAAGAAGTACATTAGTTCGTATTGTAATCTTTTAAAATTAAAGGACAGTTAGACCCTAATGTTTATAAAAATGAAATAGAAGAAACTTATCAATTAATGAACTAAATGTAAAGCATTGGTCTTGCACTCCTACAATTGCTATTAGCAAGCCTGGCCCCTTTGTAATATAAGCAATTAACCATATAGTATTGAATTAATTTTGAAAAAAAGGGTGGGAAAAGCAATTCCTATTCACACAATACATCTGTATATCTAAGACATACATTTCGTAGTCAATTGGTTTATTAAAATTTACTCCTAATTATATTGTTGTTGAAGATTAAGCTAATTAAGCAGGTGTATTGATTTTTGTGCAAAATCAAGTAACATCACATGGATGAGCCTCGTTTTAAGGCTCTAGTTTGAGACTTGTGTGTTGCAATGTCATTATGTCGATGTATCTAGCACTAGTTCCTTACAATTCGTACGTACTTTTTTTTGCATCTTATCATTGGTGTCATTAGGTTGTACAATGCTATTGCGATGTGACTTGACTTCTATATATATTATCTGATCATTTAACTAATTATATTAAAAAAAAATAAAAATAAAAAAACTTTCGAGAATGAATTAAGTAATCATATGCTAAGAAATCGATCATTATGTTATTTCTATTAAGGGCAAGATCTGATTGAATGAATTGAGCTGAACTGAACTGAATATTTTATGAGAGAAGGAAATTAAAAACTGAACTGAACTTATTGGAGCTTAACTGAATTGAACTGAAAATAATCTGAAGATAACAAACCCTTAAGTGTATGTGAAGATAGGCAAATCGTCTTAGACAAAGTTTATGCTCTTGAACCTAAATGTAGAAAAACTTTATTAGGCTATAAATGGTACACTATATATTTAAAACTCTGTCTTAGGTGTACATAATACATGCTTATACTCAGTTGTATTGTATGGTAGCGTGTTTAAATTTTTTAGGTTGAATACAAGAACTTTTTACTTCTTTATGTGAAATTTCAAATACTAGGATTAATTTTAATGTGCTTTACTGTGAACCAAAGTTCACACACTCGGTTGATTTACAGATGTAATTTTGATTATCAAATTAATGCATTGATAAATTGTACATAACATTAAACAACTACTAGTATGGTGGCGAGGAGGGAATGATTAGATTGCTTAAAATGGCCTATCCAACTTCTTCTCGAGGTAATACAACCATACAAGTGCCAACAATGTCTCCTAATCCAACAGTTTGTTTGAAAATTTTAGTCATTTGCTTGAATTTGAAGTTTATGACATGAAAAACATTCATCATTAGAAGAAAATGTATGTTAAATTCCTAAAGTATAAATTAATGCTTTGAATTTTATGTGGTTGAACTACTCTTCAAGTATAAGACTTGGAGTTGCACTTAAACATGTCCAAGCAATGTGCATGTGCAGATCTAGAATTACAACCCCATTTAAGCATTTGTTGTCCTTGTTTCTATTTACCCCTTTTATGTGGGCATTCCTCTAATCATTTCTCCAATTTTATAAAGTAAATTTACTTTGTAATTAATTCAAAGTTCAGAAAATACACTAAGGTTAAAGACTCATTTCAAATTAGTAACATTATTTACACAAAATCACCTACTAAACCAGTACAAGCCCTACTTTGAATTGTATTAAAAGCAAATATCAAAGATTTTTGCATATATTTATACATTACTCTAAAGTCCAAACTCGAATTTCGATTTCTCCATATATATGAACACTTATAAATCTCATTTTTCGTAAGAAGAGCATATGAGTTATCCCTTATTTTGTGGTATAGGATCATTATGCTATCTCCAATATTCACCAATTATATAAGAATAATTTGTTTTTTTAATTCCATAGACTTGATAAACTAGGGTGTTATATTTTAATTATAGAAGAAATCTTTAATTAGAGTGTTGTATGTGTTCCAGTGTTCCCCTTCTATTATCATTTTGATTTGAGATTTTTGTATACATAACATATCCTTCATGTAGTCTGATTTAAGCATGTTCCAATTTACTGAAAACTACTGTACTAAATTGGTTAAGGCTGGATTGAACTGAATTGTTTATGAGAGAAGGAAATTAAAAACTGAACTGATTGGAGTTGAACTAAACTGAACTGAATTAAAATAAACTGAACATAACAGATCCTTATATTAATTATTATTATCCTCTCCTCAAATCTAAATCACGCAACAATTCCAATTTTTCTTGTAAAAACCTCCGATGGACATGAAAAAAGAAGGAGAAACATTAATGCTAGGAATTAATGCTGCCTTTTTAAACTTAATAATACAGTAATCTACCACTAATTAAAGTTATGACTAGTATTACAAAAGGGAGAGAGGTATGAATATTACTAATGGCAAATGATTATTATAATTATTGACTTGTGCAGAACTCTTTGTGCATGAGCAAAAACTTACGTAAAGAAATACATCATTCATCACATAAAAAATTGCTAAGACATGAGTTGTTTCTGACATTTTATTTTTTCCATAAAAACCACTTTGCTACCCAAATTATAAAAGAGATCCATTGTTTAAATCAAAGCATAATCAATACTTGTATTTATTCAACTATTCATAATTTCTTGCATATATTAGTTATATAACCAAACTTCTCCTAGAGATCTGAGTCCCTCTTATTTCTCCCTACAAAAAACACACCAAAAAAAAAATATATGCCCTCCAATACAAGAAAATGGTATCTCTAAACTTCATATTCCTCTCCTTAACCATATTTGCCTCTATAGCTTGTACATTCTCCGAGCCCGAGGAAGCTCCCCTTGATGATATAAACAAATGGTGTGACACCGTTCCACACCCCAAGACATGTAAGTACTTCATGGCTCGAACGCCAGGTGCGTTCGAGCCAAAGCAGAAGTCCGATTTTAGGAGAATGATGGTGGAGGCGGCCTTGGACCGTGCCATGGCCGCCCAAAGCCACTTGTGGATGTGGGGGGAAAAGTGTGCAAACCATAGTGAGCGAGCAGCGTGGTCTGATTGCATTAGGCTTTATAGCCACACCATAATTCAACTTAATTACACCCTCTATGGTTTGACCAGTAACTCGAGTTTCACTGAATTTGATGCTCAAACCTGGCTTAGCTCCTCCCTCACCAACCTTGACACTTGTATGAGTGGGTCCCAAGACATGAACGTCACATCATTCATCTGGCCCCACGTCTCGTACAACGTGTCTGACCTAATTTCCAATGGGTTAGCCATAAGTGAAGGCCTAATTGAAGAATTTGTCAATGCTACTAGTAGTGGTAACACAAGCGAGTACCCTACTTGGATGAGGCATGAAGAAAGGAAGTTAGTGCAAGTGTCTAGGAAATTGGCAGTCAAGAAAGCTATGTTCGTCGTGTCTAAGGACGGTTCGAGCCCTTATAGGACGGTTCAATCAGCCATTGATGCCGCGGCTAGGAGCCGTATAAGGGGAAGGAAAGTGATACATGTTAAAAGAGGTGTTTATAGGGAGAATATATATGTTGGACCATATAACGATGATATAATGTTGGTTGGTGATGGAATGAGGAATACCATTATTACTAGTAGTAGAAGTGCTCGATCTGGTTATACAACCTATAGTTCTGCTACCGCAGGTATGTTACATCATAAACTCATCTCCTATTTTATAATATGCTTTGCATTAGCCAAATTATGTAGAGTTTTGGTAGTATATACTTAGGCAATTAGCAATCTATGTTACATGAACATGCATGCAATATGAATGAATATGTTAATAGTATGATTGTAGCCATTCTCCATAGAGCTTGTCTCGATCCAATAGTAGGGTTAAACTAAGTTCGACTTCAGGTCTTTTATTATACTCTTTTCTTCTCATCACTCCAAATTCTAAACGGTCTGTGTTTTAACAAACTTGAAAACGACCCTTGATAACAAGTTGTTGAACAGGCTGGACTCGTTTAATTATGGTACATTATCGAAAAAACACTTAACTAGATTAGCCAAGTGCTTAATTAAACTTTATACTTTAGCAGTGTTACTCAATGTGTAGTGATTGTGATCGATCTATTAATTTTTTAAGGTGGGGCTAGATTACCATCTAATCCAAAATTAATAAAAAGGGCCATTAATGACCAAATACTTTATGATTACACAATATATTCCTATGAAAAGAAGTCAAAATAGAAGATCTAGATCTTAATGTATACATACAATTATTTTAAAAGTTTGTGTATTTAATGGAGCATCAATCATTGACCATACTTTTAGTGACTTGAAGCAACATCCTGCTATGTCTGACTTTTTCATAAGTACTTAATTAAAGTACTTGTTCATCATTTACATTTGATTATTCTAAAGTCAGTACTTTCTCAACCATTTGGTACGGTGGCCCTTGTGCCAAGCAACAATTCATGCTACCATTAACTTGTTCATGTTATTATATATCACTGTTTTTTCTTGTCCCATGATATGTAACAAGTTTATACTTCATAAGTACAAAAAAAATGTGAATATGTTGTGAAACTGTGATTAATAGAGAACATTGTATGATATATAGTCGAATAATGAACAATAAAAAATGCTAAATTAATACGTACGTTATAGTAAAATTTAACGATTTTTTTATTCTTTGAATTGAAGGTATCGATGGACTTCGATTCATTGCTCGTGACCTAACCATTCAAAACTCAGCCGGGGCGCAAATGGGCCAAGCTGTGGCATTGCGCTCAAGCTCGGATCTTTCAGTTTTTTACAAATGTGCATTCCTAGGATACCAAGACACCCTATTTGTACATTCACAAAGACAATTCTACAAAATGTGTTACATTTTTGGTACAATTGACATTATTTTTGGAAACGCGGCTGTTGTATTCCAAAGTTGTATGATCTATGCAAGGGTGCCAGTTTTAGGCCAAGCAAATGTCATCACGGCCCAGGGTCGGGTTGACCCAAATCAAAACACGGGGATCGTGATGCATGGATGTCGGATCATGGCAGATGAAGACCTTGCAGGAAAGATCCGAACCGTTTCCACGTACTTGGGTCGACCATGGCAACAATATTCTCGTACAATCATCATGAGATCATACATGGGTCCGTTGGTTCACAAAGCAGGGTGGATGCCCTGGAAGAGTGCAGGGTATTTGAGCACCTTATACTATGCAGAATTCGGTAATTTTGGGCCTGGTGCAAGGCTTCGCAATCGGGTCAACTGGCCAGGCTACCATATCATCACTAGGCCTAACGCAGTCTCACAGTTTAGCGTTGAACGCTTCATCGCGGGGCGAAAATGGCTGCCTGCAACCGGTGTGCCCTTCAGTCCTGGTGTTTAAACCATACAATAGAGTACTAAATTATTTTGCTTGGCGATTAATTTCTCATTGATCATATTCATATTAGTGCAGAAACTACTACCCAGGGATAATTTTTACTCCCTTTCCTGTTTGAGTAATTATTTGAAGATTGATCAGGTAGTAATATTTAATTGTTTTCTGAAACTTGTTGATTTATACATATTTAATTCATGTAAAAATAGAGAGATTGGAGGAAATAATTTTAGGGCTACATTTTCCTTTGCTTCTCATTTCTTCAGTATTTTGTATTTTCAATGGTAAGCATATCAGAGTTTGGATCATGGTTTGGATTAAACTTATTGTACAACTTCGAGGCATCACCTGGCCGGAAATGGACTGAAATATAGATCTCTTTTTATTATGTAAATTGCCTTAAGCCCTTAACACAATTGGTGCACCAATCAACTGAAATGCACCGTGCAGACTGCAGTCTGTACTACTGATACAATAATATACCGTGTACATAGTTATAAAAACTTAATCATAACATTTCAATGAATTGCTTTCAGAGAACAGAAATTTGAGGTTCTTCAACCTTGTCACAAATCTAAAAATCTACAAAATTTCAACTACAGAAAAGATCCTAATGACAAATAGATGAAGGAATATTAACAAGAGGATTTGCAGAGTTGCCCTAGGGTAATAAACACCTTAACGGAAGAGCCTTGGAACTGATCTTTTAGGTACTTTGCCTTCCATCTTCAGCCTTCTATATGATTCTCGTATGTGGCATGGCCTAATGGGGCCAGAATCCTTTCTTTCAGACATCACTATTTTAGCTGCACACAGATGCGGTACCAATCAATAGGCAGCAACAATGTATAACCCACAAAAGTTAAAATCAATAGGCAGCAACAATGATATATTGCAAATTAAGCCTGGAATCCCAAGCTGTATAAATAGTTTATATTGCTTGTCGTAACATTTAAATATATCTTGGTCAACAAAATTCAGGATGCAAGGATAAGAGAATGCATGAAAATTTTGAGTAGAAGTCGTTAAACTAGTTGGGATTTATCAATACCTTGAAAATTAACACCCAGCCTTGAGCAAACTAATGGAATGGTTAATTACACATTAGCCACACCTTCATGGCCTCATATATGCAGCATATTTAAGCCTAAAAAAAGAGACTTTCTTGTAGTTTCTATTACTATAGAGTATAGAATTTATAGACAAAAGTTGAAATTAAGATTTGACAATACCAAAAGTGCTCCATAAACTAAATAATATAGTGATAAATTTCTCAAGGACATACCATTCCAAATCGCACTATTTTTGCCTAACAAATTAGAATGCATACCTGTCTCAACAAGCTCCCCAACAAACATTTTTGCAATTCCGGATGCAACAATGGACATATGTACAGAGATCTTCTGACTGCCTGTAATACTTACTAGCAACTGCATTGAAAAAACAAGAAGAAAAATATACATAATAAAAGTTAGCTTGACAACGTTATTCAACAGAGTGAGCTTCTCTGTGCTCCCACACCTTTATCTATTTGTATTAAGCAACAAATTTCCCAAGACTAACATAAGATAGCAGAAACATGTGAAAGAGGTATACCCTTTTCATGTTGGATCTCTGGAAACCAGACCTCCGAAAAGATTCATATCTGCTCATTTGCTCCTCTGTAAATCGAGATAAGATGGTCCTGAAAGTAATTTTAACAGTATAGTCATTCATGAGAAATTACATCCAAAGTGCATCAAATTTACGGAGTATCAACTTGTCTTTGTTTATGTGCAATGCAAAGGATTTCAACCATAGAGACACAACATTAGCAATGAAAAGAAATGAAACCAATCATATGAATTGATGTTTATGATGAAGTAATAAATCTTCTAAGAGGTCAAGATACAGCAATATACACAGGGAGGAGAGAAAAAAGTATTTTTAAAGATATTAAGAAATACAGATTAATATGAAAAAAAATAAAAATCACAAGTATAATTCTTGGTTGAATATATTCTCCCTATAAATTTTTTGGGCAACTATTTACAAGTATTTATACTCCGTAACTACTTATGGATTTAAGGGCATTAAGCCACAAATTCAACCACTGGATTGGTGATCGTATACTCACACTTCTATAGAACTATAGAAGAGGTCAGGGGTTCACGCCTTAGTAGGTAAAACTTACAAGAGCATGCAACACTCAAATATTATTTATCTGAAAAAAATATACTACGAAGTATAATGCATAAGCAAACAGATGATATGAGCTAAAAAACGGCTTCTCGATTCTCATTACACAATGCACACTATACTTCCTCTTTTAAAAATAGGTAATAATATAAAAACTTGTAACTCACACCCTAAAAAAGTTAAGCCCAATGGCCCCAAATTGAACAATATCTGTACAAGACAGGATCCAATCAACATATCAACAACTCAGCAAAGACAAAACCCATTCATAAGTACCAATTTTTATGTTCTCCGCATGAAATTAATACCGATATTGATACAGATGAGGCACCACTCAATTAAGATGATACATATGAGGCACCACTCAATTGAGATGATAAGTTCATTCTAAAAAATGCTAAATCAGAAGTTCATACAGTCATGTTCAATAAAATGATATATTGAAGTGGGTTTTTTGAGCTCTTTTTTCAAACAGCCAAAACTAATGTATACTCGGTATATATAAGGATGGTATAAAAATGCAAATGTTAGTGAACAGGCATATAGTATGGTGGCAAAGCATTAAAAATCACATACTGCATTTTGGCCATTTTATCAGGGTCACCACTAGATGAGAGCTTCCCGAGCTCAACATCCATGTTGTCTTCCTCCTCATCATCATCTTCATCTTTGTTCTTGTTATTGGGTTGAGTGACCCCAGAAGCTAGTGGAGCAGCTGAAGTTGATGCGACATTAGGATGAGCTACAAGTTCCAATCCCACCTCATCCTCGGGTTGATCAGCATCGTTGACAGTCGCAGCAGCGTCTATTTGGGTTTCAGTATCATTGACTGCAGCAGGAGACTCAGGTGGTGATTCCTGCTCTACAAATGCTGCTTCGAAAGGATCTTGTGACTGCTTCATTCTACGCCCTAAATCAACAAACGAAATCACATAATTAAACATACTTGAAAGGTTCAATTTTCGGGAAGAGGTTGAATTTTATAGTTCAATCCTAACATTAAAAGGTTCTGCAATACATCAGCAACCAAATTTGATTCAATTATCACATTAGGCTTGAAAAATCACATAGTTTATGGAGAACAGGCACATTTGTTTCAATTATCAAATTAGTGTTGAAAAATCACATAATTTTAGGGAGAAAAAGGCACAATGGATTCAATTATCAAACTAGGCTTGAAATAATCACATAATTTTAGGGAAAATTTGATTCAATTATCAAATTAGGCTCGTAATTTTCTTCTCTAGCAACATAATGCTCGTTATGATCTTTCAGAAACTTAATAATTAGAACAAGTAGTCCAATAATTCGAACCCTAAATTTACTATACTAACTATTAAATTAGATCAACGATAAACCCTAGATTGTGAAATTGAAATTCGATGATTACAAAAAGAAACAGCAACTTACCTCAAAAGTTGATTCAATGGAGGATAGAAATGTAAAAAGGCGCTTCAATGGTCCGAAACTGAGAGAGAAGTAAAGACAATTCGGTCTACGTTTTATACTCGTACCTGTAAGAGTGTAAGGGCTACTAAGGGGTGTCATTGACCATGCACATTTATCCTCCTTGCCATTGCTAGAAATTATGACAAAGGCCTTAGTTTGGTACTGACATATTCATACATATTAGTCTGGACTATAGACAGCCTGTTTTCACAAGAGTTCTGAATGGGTTGAACAAGGTTTTGAAATAATATGCTTACATGAGCATATAATTTTCAGCTAGTTGTTTGAAAATAAATTTGTTTCTAATAGAATGCTCAGAGGTAAAAACATGTTCATTACCCTAAATCTTCCTAGTACTGAAACATAATTAGTTCTTGTTGTTGTATATTTGTGGATTTGTGTTTTATAATTTGGGATTTGGCTGCTCATATTCACTACTCGTAGTTATTTTATATTGTTTCATCATAATCTATCTGACATTACTAGCACAAATAACAACTCCAAATAACTTGCAAAATCAACAAATTGACAAAAAAAATTGACAAATGTAGAGCAATACTAACATGCAGGAACAAATTGACAAAAAAATCAACAAATTGACAAAAAAAATCAACAAATTAAGAGCAAGGATTTGGAGAATCAACAAATTCTTACAATCAAAAGCTTAATCTGACTTGCAATCTGAGCAATGATTTGGAGATACCTGAACGACTTGCAATCTGACCGACTTCGAGCAATGATTTGGAGCGAAATCTGACTTGTAATCTGACCGACTTCGAGCAATAATTTGAAGCGAAATCTGACTTGTAATCTGACCGACTTCGAGCAATGATTTGGAGCGAAATCTGACTTGCAATCTGACTGACTTCAAGCAATGAATCAGAGCAAAGAATCTGAACGTAGCGAAGAATTAGAGCGAAAAATTAGAGCGAAGAATTTGGAGCGAAGAATGGGAGCGATTTAGGGTTCATACATTTTTGGGGGTGAATTAGAGGGAAGAATTCGAAATCAATTTGGGGGTTTAGGGTTCATCATTTTTGAGAGGAGAGAGACTGAGTGAGCGTTTTTGTGTTAGAGATTTTTTTTTTTTTTTTTGACGGGATATGAAGGGAAGAGATGACTGAGTGAGGCGTATTACTTTTGTCTTTGGGCGTATTATTTTAGTTCAACGAGGGCAAATTAAAATTTCGCCCACTTTGCTCTATTATATTAGAGGATAAAAACTAAATTCGCCCTCTTTGCTTTGAAATAAAAAGGCGAAATTAATTTTCGTCCTCTTTGTTATGTAATAAAAGGGCAATTAGAGCAACTTCAATGGTAAGCTAATTGTGAAATTAGCTTGTCATGCCACTTAGGATTGCAAAACTAATCTACCTTGTAGCTAATTAGTCCCACAATGGTTAAGCTAATTTTCAATAATTTTTTTTATTTATTTAATTTTTTTTAATTCCCACAATTTGCTAAGCTAATTAGCTTAGCTAAGCGAATAGCTTTGCCCAGCTAATTTGGTAATGCAATTCCAATGGTTAAGCTAATTATATATTAGTTTCATAAATTACAAGCTAGTCCTAATTTTACACTATTGGGTATAATTTTGCCCTCCTTGATAGAAACTAACAAGGCAAACTATAACTCGCCCTCTTTAACCGATTAAAATCGCCTTCTTTGATTTTTTTCTTGTAGTGCTGGCTAAAAGTTTAGCTTTACTTATTAGTTATTATTTTTAACTTTTTTCTTTACTTTTAAAACTGCCTTTATTATTTTAATGTCACATTTGAACTTTTGGCACTATTAGCTTGACATTTGGACTTTATTATTTTAATTGTAATACTAATATAAGTTTCTTTCGAAAAAAAAAAATAAAAAATAGTATTAAGTGGTACGATTTACAGTTTATTGCAGCTATTCGTCTTCAAATAAGCTGGAAATAAACAATAATAATATGATTAGGATGAAAATAAGTATCTACTCTAGATTATAGATACCAAAAACATTGAGGAGCTAATAAGGTAGGGTATATAATTTTGGGATTGACAAGATAACTATGATTTTGGTGATGAGATGGCTAATAATATTATTTTTTTTCGTGTATGTCAATCCGTTCTATTGTTTTGGGTATCACATCTATGCTATTAGTATGGAATTATTATGAGAAATTGGATATGAATTGAGAAGTACTTGGACACCTGTAAAAGGAAAGGACATGTACACGAAAATACACTATCTATTTACGTGACGTACAATATATAATCTATAAGTACAATATACGAATAAGCCGCGATTTACTACATTAAGGAGTCAAGGCATAAACAAAATTAATGAAAACGAAAACAAAATCATAAACGTATATATACTTGACCTTATTTATAGTTATAAATATGTGGTGTATTCGCATAGGAGTAAAATTTTATTGTTAATTGGATGTTCATATTAAGGACTTGTTCTGATTTAACTAATGAAATGAGCTAAACTGAACTGAGTTGAATTGAATCATTTATAAGAGAAGAAAATTAGGAACTTAACTGAAACGATTGGAGTTGAAGTGAAATTAAGCCGAAGAGAACATGCCTTTAATATATGCGTGTATCTTATCTCTTGTCGCATTTTGGCATTCATGGCTTGGATAGATGATCGATGACATGAGCATAGCTACGGATGTCAAATTGAATATTTAATTAACATAGTTTAATTCTTCTTCTTTTTTTTTAACAATTTTGAACTCACACTTTGAAATTCTTGGATATAACACTGCTATTACGGAGTATTATTGACGTGCTTTTGGTGATATGGTGATGATTTAAATTATGTAGTATGTAAGGGCTAAAAATGTTCGATTAATCACTGAACCGTCCAATTCCTTTAGTCAATACGATCCGAATCCAATGTCTTTGTAGTGGCAAAATAAGCTCAGGAATATAATTTCATAAATCTGCAAAATTAATATCAATTCTATAAAAACACTAGAAAATATATATTAGTAATAAAAATAGCTATATAGAGCCAAAATAAGCACAAATATGATCATGGAACGGGAATAAATAAATTTATATATATAATAGACTGATCATATGTAATAGCTAAAAACAATAATGGTGATAATGTTTAATTTTTTTTTTAAAAAAAAAAAAAAAAAAAAAGAACAAAGTAATTAAACTTTTCTCAACTCGTGACCCAACTCAATTGATAGTTCTATCGTCAATGTATACTTAATACTTACATGTATAAGTCACACAACTTGTTAAGGATACTCTGTGATTGGACTAACCCCAAACGATGCGAGAAGTGAAATGTGTTGATATGGCCCAGTATTTTAGTAACAGCTTCCTTAAGCTCTTCTCTTGAATAATCTCCCCTATTAAGGCAAGACATGATAAGATCATCTTCATGTGCTTTGTTGCTAAAATCATCACCATCATCATCGCGTTTAATGGCTCCTTTGTCATAATAGTAAAACCAAAGCCATACATCTTTTATGGTGACACCACTAGACTTTAACTCCAATTCATTATACAAATAACAAAACTTGCATCGATATAATTTATCTTTATCTTTATCTTCATCTTTGTCGACTTTATATAAAGTTAGCCTCCCATTACCGTCTTTGCTCACAACTGATGTCAACCTAGGGTGCTGATAAAATGCCTTTCCGCTAGGATTGATTTTCATGGATGGAAATTGTGTTAGAATTGTGTTAGCATGGAGCTTCAAGCGCCTCCATGTCACGTCCCCTCTTCGAGTAGTCTCTTGGTTCGTGACTGGCCATACAACCGGAGCACTTTGATTATTATTATTTTAGGCAATTGGTCTTATATGAACCCGGTCTACAATAAATTATTGTAGACTCAAAATTTGACACTTTCAAATAATATAATCACATTCTGGATGATAAAATCGTTTTTTTAGATTATATAATTATCTTTTTATGAGTCATATTTTGAATTACATAATCTCATATTAAACCATTTAATAAGATTATATAATTATCTTTAGGATGATAAAAATTTAAAAATCATGTTTTGAATGATGTAATTTACTATTTGATACTTTTTATAATGATAAATTCACTTTTTGAGTTATACATTTACGTAACAGTTTCGAAATGATATAATCACTTTTGTAATAATATAATCACATTCGTAGGTATACAACAAGGTTGGGTCTACAATAAGTTATTGTAGACCGGGTCTATTCTAGTCTTTGTAAGTTTTAGGAGCAGCTTTTCATTGGTATTCTTTTTCGCAGTTGTGTTAGGAGTTAGCATCTTTATTGTTTTTCATTAGTTTACTAGCACAATTATTCATATCTATTACCTTTCAATAGTTCTTAGGGCCTGTTCTCATATAATTATTTTCAATTCAGTTCAGTTCAGTTAATCTCTAATAAGTTAAGTTCAATTCAACTCTTTGTTGAGAGCTTGAAAATGGAGGAGAGAGAGAGGAGAGAGAGAGTGAGGAGAGAGAGAGAGTGAGTGAGGTCTCAGATGATTGAAAAAAATGCGAAAATGATGTGAGCGTAGATTCCGCTGACAGTTATCGGGGGTATTTATATTAATCAGCCACGTGGCAATTCTAGATCATTCTCTCTTGTATTGTACTAATAACAATAAAATAAAAATAGTAATAATAATAATCAGAGTTTTTTTTCCCTCCTTTTGGTTAATTTTCGTTCACATTTTATTTAATAATTGGTATTCTGGTTTTGACGTTTAGTTGAATTGCTTAAGTTAAATCATTGCAAATATTATCATTTTCTCTCTCCTCTCTCTCTTAAGATTCTCAATCATCAAGCCCGTACCTGGCAGGGCGGCCTCCCGGGGCCCAAGAATAAGAAGCCCAATGTTAAAATTTGTTTCATAATCGAAAAACATAAGTCAAACCCATTATATTTCTTCAAATGCTCCATGTAATCTCGTATTCTCGCACTCCGCATCATTGAAAACAAAAGATTTTCGTTTTAAAAAAAATTACTCCAAAACTTTATTTGACTCCCTTAATTCACTTCAATTCCTTAATAATCACATCAAAATTTCCAATTTCCCAATATACGGAGTAATTACTTTAACCCATATTCAAATCCAATATATCATGAGGAGAGAGAAAGATAACTACGTACTATAATTCTATAAATAATGTACAAAATATAGGAGGGGGTTAGAAATTGAAGATTGAGAAAATGATAAGAAAAATGTTGAGCAGATCAATAAGGAAAACTTTCCATTCAAAAGCTTTTAGGAATTCATCATTTTTTGAAACAAGATAAGTGCTCATATTATTAAATAAGGTCCAATTCCGCCAAAGTTGTTATACTTTAAGGAAAGGAACATAAACGTACAACTTCAACATTGTTTCCGGTGTCACCTCTAGCAACTAGATGAGCCACCGTATTAAATTTACGGTTAACATGAGCAAAAGAACAATCATCAAAGAGCAACCTATCTTGTGTAATATCATCATAAATAGAGTAAATTGGAGACACACCACCACCATCCACATTCACAGCTTGAACCACATTCCAAGCATCAGATTCCACTTGGATCTTAGAGAAGCCGAGCCTACATGCTACCTGTAAAGCAAAGCGGACTGTCAGAGCTTCAGCACACTCTGGAGACGTTGAATGGTTTTTTCTTATAGCCGTAGCAGTAATAGATCCCTGAGCATCCTTGCATACTACCCCCAAGCTTGCCATTCCCATTGTAGGCACATGAGCATCAGTATTGACCTTAATATATCCAATTGGAGGGGAAGACCATCTCGTCACACTTGTTCCAGACTTCCAGGACCAGGCATCACAGACGACTTGAAGACACGCTGAACATAGGAGTTATACTCTGAAACCCGCAACAACCATGACAGGATGTGAGCACTCTCCTTCGAACACAACAAGGTTCCTACACCTCCAAGCCGCCCAAGGTTTATGCACACTCAACTAACATTATACTTCCTCCGTTTTTCTTTTATTGCACCATAAGGACTTTTACACTATTCACTTAATCTTCTTTGACCATCTTTTGTGATTTATCCATTAGGAAAAACATAGTTATGTGGGATCTAGTTACATTCGTCTTGAAATCTACTTTTCAAATATTAATTTTTTAAATTTTTTACAAAAGTATAATTAAATATATTAATAGTCAAAGTAATGCATAAAAGAACATATTTACCTTATTTTTAACTTAGTTACCTTTAACAACATTTGGCTGATTAGCAAACCTTTGGTCAAAACACCCCCAATTCGGCAAACTCCTCCATTAACATGATCAATCGTAACAACGATCAACCATGTCAATAACCCTTTTTCTTACAATTCTGCCTTAATTTCTTCAATTGATCCTCAAAAACACAAACATTCTTACACAAACCATCAATTAAACAGAGTCATGGGATCACTTGCAACCCATTTCTCGACGTTTCTGTTCATCTTTCCAGTTGGATTTCGTCGCTTGTATTCCTCTTTCTCCCTCTTCCTCAAAGATCCTTCTCTTTACCGCTCAAAACCCTGGTTTTTCATCGACCCCAAATGGAAAAATTTTGACCTTTATGCCCTTCTAATTGCCCTACCCATTGCTGCTTTATCTGACCTCTTTCTTTTTCTCTCTTTTTCAGGCCACCCCTCTTACAGATTTTCCTTTCTTCAACATGGGGCTGTCATTTTCTTCTTCTGGGTACTTTTAATTCTCATTTGTTTGAGAGAAATTCATGATTTTGTGGTTATTAATGAGAGTTTTTTGTTTCTTTTATCTGGGGTTTTCTTTTTGGTTGAGTATTTCATCAATGGCAATGGTTTTACTGGTGTTAGCAGCAATGTGTATGATTTGCTTGGTAATTTAACCCTAATTTGTGCCTTTTCTTGCTTGTATTTGTCGATTCGGCCTACCGCCTTTTTAGCTGATTTTTTCCTGTCTAGTGGGATGATTTTTAAAGGGACTTGGGTTTTGCAAGCTGGGCTGAATTTGTATACTTCTACATTTGGGTTGAAAGGTTGTAAAGAGGTGTCATTGTTGCCTAATCAAATGAATGTTGATGTTAAATGTGATCTTGATGAGGATAGCTTGAGGGGTATTGCATTGATGAAGTTGTTGTTTGTGTGCCATGCCATTGTGGTTATCATTGCTTGTCTTGGTTTGTTTGGATTGTTGTCATGTAAGGAGAATTTGAGATGTGGTGAGGGCAGTGGACCGTTGTTGGCGAAAATCGAGTCTCACAGTATGTCAATGCAGCAGCTTCCTGAATTTGAGCTGGAGTAGTGGTTCTTGTTCTTATATCTATCTATCTATGTTGAGGGAAATTGAGTTGCTGTGGATAGGAGATCAGTGGAGTGTTTCTTCTCTGGAGGTAGATAACCTAAAAATTTTGTGTAGCTTATAGTTTCTGTTTTGACAGAGTTTACTATCATTAGGATATTTTTGTTTTTGTTAATGTATACTGTAATAGTAATGTATTTAACATCAATAATATTATAATTTATTCATTAATCCTTTATCTTGCTATATTTCTTGATACAAAGAGGTTGTTCTGCTAATATTGTACAATTTTTTTTTTGTTATGTAGCAATTTATGCAAAATACATTTCGAGTCTAATCTTTCTGTGACAGAATCAGTAATTGAGGATAAAATTTATCTTCGAGTGAAGTATATATTTATGATGTTACAAATGGGAGGCGCCAATGCACTAATACCAATTCTGTGTGTAACTGGAATGCTTGGGGTTAGTTGTTTTATTAATTTCATAGAGAATTGTTTTGAACATTCATGGTGTCTGCTAAGGTTCTGGAAAAGTGCCTTTGTTGTCCTGGCTATGCTGTGATTGCTGTCCTGTGGAAAAGTAAATGACAAACTATATGCTTTTATGAAGCTTAGCTATTACTCCCTCCTCCCGAAATCAACTGCTGTGTTGACAGATGTGCTATCTGAATATGTAATGACTAAATCTGCGGTAGTGTACAAGAATGGAGCACTGCTTGTGACTGGTAGTTTGAATCATGGTACTGATAGGTTGAGATGGTACAGAAGGAAGAGCTGAAGATTGACAGATCTGAGGTGATAAGTTTAGATGGGTCTGAGTATGATTTTTAAAGATAGCTTGTTACTCAGATGACTTGAAGTCTCTCAGCAAGAGTGTGTCAATAGACTCAATAGGGCATGACCAGGAACAGGAGACAACATTCATGTAAAGCTTGGAGTCTAGCGCTCTAGTCTTCCACTCACAAAAGGCATATGTCAAACAGGAGAAGAAGAGTCATAATTTAAGTGGTATGGAGTACTTTCCATAACTTTGGATGCTAATTGTTGATATCAAGAAAAGGTAACTAATTTTCATACTTCCGAGATGTGATGCTGATAGATTCCCATTATTATTTTCGTTGATCATCTTCCCCAATAATATAGCATAATCTATGCAGGTACGAGTAATGATTAGTAGATTGTATTCAAGATGATACAATTTGGCATCATAGTAAAGTGTGTTCTGTTGAAATTGCAAGTAACTGTGGCTGTTTTTTTTTTCCTTAACTCAGTCTTTAGCAATATGTTGTTAAATGGTATTGGTGTATATAGATCTACAATTCGATCTTTAAGCAACTTATTTGAATAGAGTGAAACAACCATCTCAATTTAATGTTGATTTTAACTTCTAAGTATTTGGATCTAAGAAGATGTAAAGGAGGAACACAAACTGATGTTGCTTTTCTGATTTTTCTGCAGGGCATCATATTTCTGATCTTTGTAGTCAGATAAGTATGTTATTCAGTGCATCTAAATTTACATGAGCATTTGTGGCTACAGTTAAAAAGTATGATGGAGAGTACCAGAAGCTGCTTGGTGTGCCTTCAGCTGTGGTAATCTGTCAGCCTCTGCCCATTAACAAGCTGCTAACTGGTTCTTGTGCACCCATAATTCACTGATGAATACTTGAATAGAATTACTCTAATCTTGTATATCTGTTTGCAGAGTGAAATTTAGGGGCACATAACCATTGGGGCCCCCGAATCTTAATCTGATGGTGGATTCTCTTGATCTTTCTGTTCAATTCACCGAATCCATGAATTCTAATCCGGTATCTTATTCTCTTTACCTTTCTCTTGAAATCACCATATTGTTTTCTGAGTTTTCTGAATCTTGTAGAGTTGACGGGCTTTATCTTCCAGCCACATCCTGCATTTCCATATTTGCATGAATTGTTATTTCTTGTGAACTTGTGGTATCAACTTTTTACAGCTTTTCATATATAACTTAATTATGGACTTACTCTAGAATGTTGTATTTTTACTTGTTAGTACTCTGTTTAGACTTTTTTGTTTGAACCCTTGAAGTGGGCAATGGGTGTCAAGATTGCAGACTATTTTATAGTATTAATTTGGTTATACTTGAGGCAAATGAAAGTCTTAGATTTTGACTCTATTTAAAACATACCTCGAACCTGTTGTTCATGATCATCTTCTTCTACATCTGGTTTATACAAGATCTGCAACCAACAATGACAAAAGAAATGATCTATTTTTCAGTTTAACTGCTTAAAAGGATTAAAAGTTTGCAAATAACTTGGATAAGCTAGTGAGATGCTGGAAGAAGTAGGATATAGAGCAGTGGTTGTAGAGTCTCTACCTTGACCAAATCTCCCAACCTCTGCCTCATCTTTCTTTGTATGGATCCCTTGGTGCTCTGCAGCAATCCTTTCATTAAACCAAGATGTGAAATTGCTGTTATTAAAAATAGTAGGAGCTACTAAGAGTAGTACCTTTATATAAGATTTGACATAGGTGTAGAAGTTCAGCAAATTCCACACAGTACTATCTAGTCTTTTGTCATCAACATGGCGTGAAAATATGTCTGCACACGAAAAGTTGGTCATCAACTAATTTTTCTAGTCCAGCCTGGTAGTTGAAGAAAGAGTGATAAGGAGAGGCAGTATTACTTTCTGACTTAATAATGTTGCTGTTTGTTACTAGTGACCCATATACATATTAGCTAATTAGGAGATGTACCTGTTACTTTCTGGTTAGAGTACCTCGATATGTGGCTTTATTCTGCTAATCAACTTTCATTCTATCAAAAATTTGATTCCTAAGTCCTAACTGTGTTTTCTTTTCATCTATATAGACAGTTTTTTTAACGTCACTATCTACTTTAACCATGTAAAGCAAATTATATAGACTTAGTATGAAATGGTTGATACCAAATGAGACAAATCCTCCATTGGTGCTCAAGTCTTCCATGAGCTCTCCTCTCAACTCTGGAGGAGGAATAGGTGACCATGTGCATGGAGGTGCTTTAGCAAATGCCTCAGAGTTTCCAATGTCCATGAGGTCCTGTTATAGAAATTATCATCATTTGGATGATCGACATGAAGTTATGTTTAGGATATGATGTAAATTATGGTGGTTGAGCCACAAACCTGGAAGAAGGACGTTGCTATAACCACATCTGAAGTTTCTTTGAATCTCATTGGGAATACAACAGTAATCTTCTGCGGCTGTCAAGCACATATATGTCATGCATCAAACACAAAGCCCTACAATGATCATGATGCTGTTAAGTAGAGAGGGCAAGGATGTATTTCTTGTTAGAGTAAACAAGAACATTTGATCTAGAATTGCTGTTAATACCTGTCTAATGACAAAGAGGGGCTCTCTTGGGTGATATATACACTTGATTGGTTTATAATTCCCTTCCGGAGCACCCTCTGAACTAAAATTTCGGAGCATTTCTTTCAGTTGAGAGCTCAATATTACAGATGCTACTGCAGCAATCTCCTTAATTATCTTCAATCCAGCTGTACAAGAAATATAGGAGTGTGCTCTATAAATTAGATCAAATTGTTAATGTCAAGCTTACTCTTGCAATCTTTTCATTGTCCCAAGCGAGAAATGCATGGATAAAGTGATTTTAAATGTAGCATGAGATCTTTTGTTGCTGTGTAATTTACTAATTTAAAGAAAAAAGAGGTGAATCATTTTAAGCACTACAAAACTTTGCTGATTATAAATTTCACTTTGTATTTTCTGAGCTTATATGTTATTCTGTTTTCCGTTGTAGAAAATTTATCTGCAGACAGTTCAGAGTTGCAAACCTTTGCCTTGTGGAATATTGGCAGTATTCAGCTGTAATGTCAATTGGTATCCATCTCTTGCCGTGTTTAGTATTTCTACCACATTAGGACTTATATCCTTCACCCTTTGTATAGTGTAAGGACACAGTCCTTGTGATACCAGTGTTCTGGGGGAGAGTATTGGAGTCGAAATCGACAAATAGATGTTTTGCGGATCTGAAGCAGTGGTCTGTCAAACAGTGAATGAGATATTTGAGGATATTGTACATCAAGTGTAAATTTACTCTTGAAATAAACTCAACCAGGAAAACTTCTGGCATTATGAGAAGTGTTTCAGTGGAACATTTGAGATTATGTCCTAGTCCTTATTGTATCTTCCCTCTCATGTCTTCTGCTCGAGAAACAGTATACTTCGTACTTCTTTAAGGGATGCAGCTCAGAGGGGGTAACAGATTTCTTATTATGATTCGGAATTGCTGATCCGTAGAATGAACTTGTGTATCGGTTTGAAGTACAAGTCACAGGGTTTTGAAGCTTACCTGAACATGGTATTCCACAGACCCAAACTCATATAAATGATGATCAATATCCACTGGCTTTTGATCTCTGTGAAAAAAGTATGATCAGCTACAATTCTACAAAGTATTTTATTTCATTTATTAGGCCCAAAATACTTCTCAACCCAACTCTCATTTCTGAGGTCTAAAACAAGTTTTTTTTTGGAAAGAACTTGACCCATTTTAAAATCTGTACTTCCTATAATTTTATTTGTTATTCATAATGATGTTACTACTATTGTCTAAACCACTTTATGTAGTGATGTTGCCAAGACATGCATAATAATTATCAACCTTGAGTATTTTGGAGTGTATCTTGCATGTTTTGTGGTACATATTCTGCTGCTGGGCCAACATCTCTTTTCTTCCTCTCCTTTCTTCTAATATCTAGTCGCATACTCAGATAGTATGCGAGCACACAGTTTGCTTGATACTCCTTCCGTCTTTTAAAGATTTCTCTTCTTCAAGGAACGGAAGGAGTAAAAAAATATCTTGTTTGCTTGTCTTATGCGTATTACATATTCTATCTATTGACAAATATCTCTTAGAAGTTAGGACTATCTTACTAGTTATTGGCGACTACAGATGTTATGAATAGCTTTCTTTTCTCAGGTAATCTTGTTTGCTTGTGCTTTAATTTAGGGACTTGGTACTAATTAAAGTGTTTTGTGGTGGTCCAAGTTTATACTAATTAAATAGGTTGCTTTCTTATAGCATACATTTTATATGTTAAAGCATTTAACAATAAATTTGTACACTTTGCAACACAACATAATATATTGACTAACCTACATAATTATTTGCAAGTCTTTGACATATTATGTACCATTAATACTTGTCGTCGTTAAAGATAGAAATGATTCAATTGAACCATGCCAACACAAGTCCCCCTAGTAGGTCATGCCTGGGCCTCTTGCTTGGCATGGCACAGATCACTGGAGAGCTTGCGCCTTGCGGCCCCATAATCAATCTATAATGTATCTAAAACAAGTACTTAATATGCTCCACATGACAAAATCACCGGGCCATGAATCGTGTTACCTAAAGTCTAGTGATTACAGCACGCTGACTTGGCTTGACCCACAACCATTTTAAAAAGCCACAAGTGGCATATGAAGCATTTTAAACAAGATTTTATCTTAAACGAACAATTATACAAAATTCTTACCGGAATAGCTGAAGCAGGATTTGTTGTAATGCAGGGGATGAACGTTCAAAGCAACCATTCTTAAGCTTTTTACTACTACCGCCATTAAACCCGAAACAACCCATCTTTAGCTAAACTCTCTTCCTTCCTTTCCCTTCAATAATAATCCTCATTTGTGTGGTTTTATGTAAGATGATGAAAATGAAGTAAATGTGAGTGGTGACCAACTGAAGTAGTAAGTGGTTTGGTTTGATGAGTGTCTTTTAAGTTATAATCATAGTAGTTAATCTTTGAAGCAAATTAATCTAAGCTAGCTAGTGTCACTCCATCTTGTCTCAATCATTGACCCATTGAAAGTTAATGTTAGTTAAAATTCTTAAAATAATTTATTAAATACAACTTAAGTCATATGAAGATAAGATATCTAGGAGTAACTTGAGACCAACTATCCAAAAAAAAAAAAAAAACTTTAGGATTAGGAGTAGTAGTAGTTAGGACAATAGGACCGAACATCATATTGTATTAAGAGTTAGCAAGTGTGGACATGTACGTGGGTTTGACATAACATTGGTTTAACCTAATATTGTACAAGAGCCATGTATTATGCGTAAATATTATTTTCAAAATTTAATAGGACATGTGCACGATCCATTGGTCCAAGTATGATGTATCAACCTAATCTAACACGATACGAGAGCCAAGACGTACATGAGCCGGCCTAAATGACACCTACTTGACATGGCACGATTGTTTCTTGGCTTGATACATGCAAATAATACGCTGGCCTAACAAGTGGACTTGCACGGGTTGGCTCGTACACAACTCTAATCAAAGTCACTGTTAATTAACCTTTTTTTTTTACACGGTAAGATACAGGGGGGACCCTTTCTATTACAGGAAGGGGTGGGGTGAGGATTGAACCCAAGTCACTCTTAGGAGAGATAGAGGTAAAAATTGTCCCCCAACTCCATGATCCTCAATTAACTATTGGATTTTACGCGTAAATGATACTGTAGTTGTTAATAGACTATACAATACTCCAATGTCTGCACTTTCTACAAATCTAACAAAAGAAGATTCCAGTTTTCTACCACTTAGCCGACACTAACAGACTGAGGCCTCATCGTTGATTAAATGTAGTGTACTCTGTAGTAATTATGATACTAGGTGCTGTACCAATTTTATGTTTGCCCCATCCTTGAGGGAATAAAGACATTTGGTACGGTATACACTCCTGCTACTGGACGGAGTTAATTACGCGTTTCTTAATGTCCGTTTGTCAATGCAATAGTTTAACCATTATTAATAAGATATTTATATAAAACGAATTGTAACCTGCCTATATACATTATAAAACGAAGTATATAATACTATAATAGATTAATAGCATTATACTATATTCTTTTTAACAAAAGTGGATGATTTAAGTTTATAAGCAAGACTCCAACACGTAACCTTATTTTCTTACACTAGTGTCTTACCACTATGATACTCCGTACATCATATATTATGTTCTCTTTTGCTATCTGATCTTAGTAAATTTCCTTTCAAACACTTTTTAATACATACAACTATACGTATAGATTGCTAATATCATGAAATGATACAAGGCATGCTTCAAACCTAAATACTACTTGTAGCTAGTTTTATTTTATTTTTTTATTATTATTATTATTTTTAAAGATTTTAAAGATAAGTAGATAACACACTTTAGGAGCAAATAAAAAACGTGATTTTCACTAATGACTAAGATATAAACAAAATTCGATTTCCAGGGATAAGTGGATAACACCTCAAAATTTACCAAGTAAACCAAATTTACCAAGTCAATTGTTGAATGAATCATCCTTTTAAAAAAAAAATATTGAATATTTCTTTTATTGTTTTGTGTAGCAAGAATAAAATACAACTTTAAAAAAAAAAAAAATCTTTAGGTGCTTAGCGGTGACTTGATAATTATTAAAAAAAAATATTTATATTGTATATTTATAAACAAATCATGCACGGGACAGAAGGCTAGTTCAATTTATAATTTATACACCAATATTGATTACTCCAAATATGAAATAACATTCTAGTTCGAACCAAATTTAAAGTAAATTGCACCAAATATGACTCAAACCAAACCCGATTTAATCCGTACCAGTTACCCCATTATTTAAAAATCTTGATTTGTGACACAAAAAAAGAAAGAGTGGGGGCAAAATCTGTTGGCAGTAAATAGTTGAACAACAAATGCAACAACAACAACCGTTGAATCGTTACACCAAAGCTAGATCTAGAGTCAAGTCATCATTATCAACATTATGATTTAAGAAAACCAAACAAAAATTATTGTGTATTTTTACAATTACAATACAATTTCCAACCAATTTCTTCTTTTTCTTCCAAATTCCTTAATTCTTAAACTATATCTCTCTTTCTCTCTCCTATCCATCTCTTTCTAAAATTAATTGCACTCTTTCTCTCTCCTCTTCTCTCAAAGCTTTTAGTGTGACGGTTTTTTTAGATCCCTCAACTTCTGCCCCAATTCTTTGTGTCCTTTTCTTGAAAGGTCGTTTTATATTTTATTTATTGAATGAATTTATTTTTTATGCATATTTTTGTACCTAACCTAATAACCAAATAACTTGCCAAATTTAAGGTAAAGTTGATTTGAGCATACTGGGTTTTTGTTTTTCTGCATTGATATCCTCTTTTAATCATCTGGGTACTTGAAATTCTTCATTTTTGATGTAAATTTCAATATTTTTAGGGCTATAATTAAGGGGTTTTGGTGAATTTGATCTGGGTTTTTTGTGGGGATTTTAGTTTGTTCATGGCGATATTTTGGTTTATGATTATGGTATTTAATCAAATGGGTACATGAAATTTCTTCCATTTATGTAAGAATTTGAAAATTTTGAGGTTTTGATTGGATTGGTAAAGTGAGGGTTTTTGAAAATTTGAGCTTAGGTTGTTAAATTGTTGGTTTTACAATGGATTTGAATGGTGAAGAGTCAAAAACTAAGCCACTTATTAGTAGCTTGAAGCCTGAAAAGGAAGCTACAGAAGGTGTGGAAGAGGATGATGATGAATCAAAGAGATTGTTATCGCCTCGAAATGGCGAAATTGCAAACGGTGATTCAAAGATAAAGAAAGTTCAGTGGAATGATACTAATGGTGGTAATAAACTTGCTGAAATAGTGGAATTTCAACCAAGGTAGTGAGGCATTTCTAATCACTTTTTATCTATTTATGCAATCTTATGGTTTTACCTTATGTTGTTTTTGGATAATGTAAATGATGTGATAAGCTTGTAGAATTGGGATTTCGATTTTCGGCCTAGGTAGTGCATTGATAATCTCTGTATGTATATGTTTGTGACTATGATTTCGATTGAGGTAGTTATGCATTGATGATTTTTCTATGCCATTCAGTATCTGTGATCTTATGCTATACAACTATACAAGTATATGTTTTTGGTGTACAATTGTTTTTTTTTTGGTTTGTAAGCTTCGAATTTCGCCTTAAAACAGACCTTTTGGTCTTGAAATGGAGGATAGGAATCGTTATTGCAGTTTTTTCAAGTAATAAGACATATAAGATGAAAGATCAGAGGTGTTAGCCTTGTGCTGAGATTGTTGTTACTACTTAATTTCGAAATTGGGATTGAATTATCGTTTTGGCTGTTTTACAATGGATATAGATGGGATTTTAGTTGGGATATGTGTTTAGTCCATTTTAACAATTATCCCTAGGCTTATCTGCTGCAGGTTTGGTTTATCCAAAGTTCAATGTTTGTAAAAGAAGATTAGCTAAAATTCAAACCTTACAGGAGTTACAGAAATGAGTATTACATGTCAGACAGACCTCTAGCAAAGATTGCTGTAGCAAGCTTCGTTAAGTGGATAATGGATTGGTTTTGGTTTGATTTCTGTTAAATTAAAGTGGATACTTTGGGTGGTAAAGTTGGAATTTTTATTCGGTGAGGGATTTTGCTGGCTTATTCTTCAATTGCTGTAGCAAGCTTCATTAAGGAGGAATTAACTTGTGTTCTAAAACATATTGAACCCGTAATTCTCATCAAGTTGTATTCTAATACGGAGTATTCAAAGTTAGGAATTTGTCTATATTGTGCATATCAAAAATTAACTTTTGGTTGAGGAAAGTGAAAATGAATAAGTATAATTTTGCTAGGTATAAAATTAGATGTGTGAAATAATTGTTTGATGTTGTGATTATTGCGAATGAAAGTTTTAGATAAATGTCTGGACTTAAAGCTACAATGCCTTCAAGCAAGGAAAAGGATTAATGTTAGCTTTAAGTTTCACCACCTGCTTCATATCACTCAAAACAGATAATACAAGCCTATGAACCCAAAGATTTGGTTACTTACAAATAAGACAACTGATATCAATCAAATGATAACTCTTTTCCTCTTGGCTAATAGTAGGGAAAAAAATATATATATAGTGCTGATATTAACCAAGCATTAGCAGCAGCCCTTTCAAATCATTGGATACTGGAAGTTTGTTGAAAAATTATATGAGTTTATGACTGTTATTTCATTGTGTAATTGATATTTTTGGACTGGCTCTACACTATAATTCCCTTGACTTGATTTATATCAAAAGAGGGACATAGCTTAACTTGCGATATTTTCCTCTATGTTTGGTAGTAAAGCTAAATGCAATATATGCAAGCATGTGTTTGATGGTAGGGTTGCTGAACTGGGTGTTTGTCTGGAAGTGTCCAATCAAGAAAATCTGAATTGACATCAACAGCTCATCAATAACTTCTAGAGGATTTTATAGCCACTATTTGCATTGTTTGTTTCTTGGCCGGGTGCTTATCTGTTTGTTTGTGCTCATGATCAAGAGCATCGAATAATCTATGATGCATGAAGTAATATCTGCTAGTTTCTTGAATGACATTTTGCTGCCTAAATTTTCTAAAAGTGTTGCTTGAGGATTTCTTTCTATAGAAGTCCTGTTGGAAGTTATCTACATTATTTCTTAGTCTTTATGGAAATTTATGTCAAAGTATTGTATGGTAATATAACGTTTTATTGCTTTTGAATGGCAGATCTGTTTTGAAGATTTGAACCTTCCATTTCCAATCTTTTTACCTGGCATTATGTAAACTTTTCAAAAATCATCAAAATTTAACTTACTTTTGCAAATTGTATCACTATTTATTGGCAAATGTTACTTATTTAGTTATTTACTACTTAATATGAGATATCACTAGTAAGTGTTTAATCGCCTGTAATCTAGGGAAATGAAGGGCACATAGGATTATAAGCTGTATACATTCAACTATTTGCACCAGCTAGTCTTTAGGTGCAAATTTAGCTTTTTATAGGTCTTTATAGGGGCAGATTGGGAACAAGGCAGGCTGTGGCAACTGGAAAGCGACATCTTTAATCTGCCAACTAATGAAAAATCATCCTCGTAATTTCAGTAGATTGCAATTACCACTTTAGACCATTGTTGCAGATGCAAGGTTTTTCTTTTTTTTTTTTTTTTTAATAAGAATTATATTGCAAGTGCAAGTTTTATTTACATGGGTTTGATGCTGAAAAATTATGATTATGCCTATCTTAATCTTTGATCGACTACTGAGTACTGATCCAGATTTTGGCTGCTGATCTAAGAGAGACTCTGTTCTAGGTTATTCATTAATATAACTACTCCCTGCCTCTGCCTCTTTTTGATTGGCCCATTTCCTCGTTATCACTTTAATAAGGCTTAGGAAGAGAAGCAAAGGGGCACCCTAAAATGTTATACGACTATATGGGGCAATTTCTAAGAGATGTAGGGACTAGCTGCTTGGCTATTTCATTAATTGTGATTGATTGGACCGACTCATGTTTAATAAGAGATTCTTTAAGTTGTGGGTGATTTAAGTGTAGTATTATTGCCCTGAATAATTTGCTTTTCTTCAAGACTCGGTTTTGCTAAATATATATACGCACATAATTTAAGATTCTGTAGGATTTCTTTTGTTTGAAATATTGTTAATAATTGATTCTTCCTCGTGTTAAAGTGAATTGGAATGTGTATGTTGTACATGTCCTATTTTTTTTTTTTAATGATTATTGATTTCATTGGACGATTTTTTTCTGGTGCAGTGATGTAAGCGACAGTGATGACGATGAGGATTCAGATTCTTGTTTCTGTACAATAATGTAGATTTTACTTCAATACCAATTCCAGTTTGTAGATTCTTATACTCATTAGATGTTATTCTTACACCCACCATGGGCACCAATCTGCAATATTCTGCTGGAATATTCCACTGAGTTTGTCACTTCCTAATTCTGATTTTTGAATCATGAAATACAACTTTACTTGACTGCACTTCATCTTGAATCTTGATTTCAAGATCACTGAGTTTGGGAAGCATTCTTTTGCCCATGGAAATTTTTGCTCATAGGCATCAGCTTGCACTTGCGACAGTTGTCTAGTTTTACAGAGCTTAATTAACTTGACTGATGCAGAATGTAAGAAACCACGACGACACTTGCAGCATGTCCTCCTAAAAGTGAGGTAGATGCAAAAGATGAGCTTTTGTAAGTTTAAGAGTGTTTATTTTCCTTTTTTTTTTTTTCTTTGGTTTGTCAGTGAAAATACTTTGTACTTCTGTTACTCTGAAACAAATTCCAATATATAAATCTTTTGTTCTGGTTGTAGAATGACACTAACAACTTAATGGATCTCAAAGTTTTCACTCTGCTTTTTTCTTGTGATTATTGTTAAAGCTCAGAATTTTATTTCCCGTTCCAGATTTTGCTGTTACATTATTAGATTTGCCTGACATTTCCTCTGTAACATCTCTGTTTATAGATAATTCTGCTAAAAATTATTTTGAACATAAGATCATCTTAAGTAAACATAATCATTCGAGATGATTCTTGGTAATTCTGTAGCATGAGACTCGGTGCTCTTCTCTTGTTGCAGTGTGTAAAGATGTTTTTATAGCCGAGAGCATTCCCTGGGCTATTATATAGAAAATGTAATCCTTAAGTCAGATACTCTGATTCTTGTCAGCATTGGTTAGCTGTTCTGGTCTCATGGATGAGAGTGATGGGAATGATGTTGCCCATCATCTGACTACGTAGTGCTGTTTTCGTGTACTATACTGGTATCGGTAAAGCTTTGGAATTGTTTTACACCCAAAACATTATTCTTTCAGGCGGAAAATGATCTGTTGATTACAGGAGGGGAATACTGGCTGTATGTTGATCAGTAAAAGTTGGCCAATACACAAACACACAAACAAAATAATCATTTTGTGAAATAGGAAAATGAAATCATGCAAACACTCACACTCAAAACTAGCATTTCCTTGTTTTGATCGTCTTCCACTGAGAAAGGTTCTCTATTGGGTTCAGCACTGGTATAATGTAATGGCTCCTTAGTCGAGCGTTTGTTGCAGAACTGATAAGAGGCACAGAAGAGCAATCGCGAAGTTCATCAGTTACTTTCTCATTGTATCTGCTCTGTGGGTCAATCGTGCAACTATCATCATCTTCATAATCATTATCAATGTCGTCATCATCATCTTCATCATCACTTAGCTGACCATAATCATCATCATCCTCCTCAACCTCGTCATATTCATCTTCACCATCATAACAACAGTTGTATCTATAGTTTGATGTTGAAATAGTTTTACTGAGAGGTGCATAGACTAGACAGGCTTCTACTGCTGCTGCTGCTTGATCACTTTCTTCGTCGCCTCTTTCTTCCCAACTGTTATTATCATGTTCATCCTCCTGTGAGATCAGTGGTTCATAAGTTACCACCTCCAAATTAAACCTCACTTTCTTTCTGATCCTTGTCTTTGTCTCATCTTTTGGCTTCTCCCTACATTATAACAAACCATTACTCCGAAACAATTCACCTAGGATTTCTTACAGCATTTGAAGAAAAGAACATGAATAACCTTGTGCTGCTGAGGGTTTGTGATGCATCCAGCTCTTTAGAATTATCCGACTGCAATGGTTCATATCCTCGAATTCTCTGTAATAAACCAAATGCAAATCAAAACATATACATATCTGAGTTTCAAACGGTTAAAAATCTTGGGAAAAAATTGAAAGAAAGGAAGTTGAGATAAGATGTTTAACTCTTCTGGTTTTGGAGCCAAATTTAGAGGCTGACTTAGGCCGCTTTCTCTTATTTGTACCACCAAAACATGCAAATAAGGTCCACCCCATTACCCTTGTCAACTCTCTCGAGCTCGCTTGCTCGAACGCTTGATCCCTCTTCTGCTCTGTAATGGAAAGAGGGAGCTATGTGTGTTTTGTGACTATGATCAAATGGGTGATAGTAAAGGTAGAACAAGTGAAGAATAAGGGGTTAGATGGGAGTAAAAGTGACACGGAAAAGTGATGTTATAGAAAGGAAATTTGGCTCCATTACAATTTGGTTTTTGAAAATGGGAACGTTGGGATTTTTGGATTAAATCATTGCAACAACAATTAGTTTACTTTCTTCTTTATTCCAGACTGACAAATTGGACAGCTCTTTCTTTTTTCTTTTTCTTTTCTATTCCTTCCCCTTCTAAATCTCCCTTATCATCCTTTTTTTTTTATTCGGCTGTTGTTGTTAGATGGTAAGATTGTAAGACACTTCGTATGAAACTCCTATTTTGAATTGTTGAGCATGAGATCAACCAAATTGGTGTGGGAAACGAACAAACTTTACTAACTAAACTACTCCGTATTTAGCTTTTAACGTACGTGTACCTAAAAATTTACTTTCGAATTATGATATTTTTTTTTTTTACGGTTTTCTTGATAATAGGTGATAAAACAATTTTGAAATTTTTTTTGGAGGTAAAATAAAAAAACCTTATTAGTTTTGGTGGTAAAAAAACAATTTTTTGATTTTTTTTTTGTTGATAAAAAGTCACAAAAATCCTTAATTTTTAGAATTTATTTTTAGTCTTACTAGTTACTTTGTATTTACTTGGTTCTACTCTTGACCTTTGGCGAGCTTCACTTTTGCTACGAAAATGCACAATTGGCAATAAATTCTTGGCAAGGAGGTGTTCTTTGTAAAGGGAGAAAATAAAGGCATCTGACCATTCCTTCCATTCAGATGAAAAGAAACAAAATCAAGAATCAATGAAAAGGCGAGAAAGAAAATACGAGGTGTTGAATTCAAAGAATCTTTGGCTACGAAACGATATGAAATAAAGAATTCAGCCAATCCATGGCTACGAAACAATATGAAATACACCATATAATGACTAATACGATGTAACATATACAAACAGGTATGGATAGCTAGTAGCCTATTAGTGTCAGTGTGGCGTGCGCAGAGTCCCCTAAGAAACCAACTATGAAATATCCAATTACCAAATAAAAAAGCTCTAGATAGTGAGGCAACCAGCTCTTAAAGAACAAACAACTAATATAAGTTTGACGAGAGAAAAAAAGTGAAAACATGATCTCTTTAATATGTGATTCAAAAGGTACTATGGATGATTGTAATATGCTCTGCATATTCTTGCTAGCAGGGAAACTCTAGTACAAACTCTAAGTTGGCTTAATTCTATGTTCCTTTCTACCAAAAAAATGTGATGGAAAAATCACAAGAAAAATCATAATACGCTATGACTGAGTTGAGAAACATACACCCACTTAAAGAGTGGGGTAGACAGGAAGAAAAAAACAGCCATCGTAAAGGATATTAAAGTGTAATCGTCGCATATCTTTATTTATGAGGGATAAGGACAATGTGACAATATATTCCTTAAGTTCGGAGTATAATGCATCAAAAGACTAGCTATCGACAAGAGACTAAAAAAATTAAATTTTAATTTTAATAAATAAAACAAGCTCTAATGGAACTAATCCGTACTAACTCACTACTTCAAAGAGAGAAAGACTACTTCAGCAGGACAAAATACTAACCCTACTTCATAAGGGTAAAGGCCCACTAGCATCTGTATTGACTATATGTGACAAACTATACAGAGGATTCCTCAAAATTATTCTATACGACACATACTTAGCTTGCATCGTCAAAATTTCCTACTAGGATAGACAAATTCTTCCACCAAATGAGAGGAAGGAAGGAAATACCCTAAATTAAACTCAACATACCAGATGGAGATCAGCTTAAAATTCCCACCAGCCCACCACACGTTGACACTTGACAGAAGATTGGAACAGAAGAGACCTTGCTTGGGTTGATCAGTCCCATGAATTCATTACGCCATCAGAACATTCTCACCATAAAACCGATTGCATGTTTAAGATTCCACCGCAAACTTGCATTTAGCTGTGTGAAGCCCACCCATATCAGAACTTGAGCACCTCTCCTGTACAACAAGGGCAAATACAGGGAGAAATTGATTATTGCCAGGAGTTAAAGCTTCAACTACCACTACGTTATCTCTATCCATTACGAACTGATCAACCCAACTTTGTCTACAGCTCCAATCTCTACCAGTACGAGAAGCTTCACTAAATCTCTGTTCCTACTTCACAGGTCAAACACAAGGTAACTACAGAAGATTTAAGTTCATAGACACATGCATTCATAATTACCTGCTTACCTGATTTATCAAGGCTACTACAAGAAACAAGCAAATCGATACAGTGCTAAAAATATACCAACCAAATAAACGGATTCAATATAAGCTTATACAGCTTAATCACTAGTGCAGTAAAAGTCTAATAGAGCAGCGGTAACAGCAAATAAACATCAAACAGCACGCCAGATACCAAACTAAACTCAAACAAAAACAATAGTAAAAAGAAGCAACTAGTACTCCAAAAAAAAAACAAAATTATTATTAAACGCTAGCAAGATAACTACTGGGAATAAAGCAAGCCAACCAGTCCAACAGTATGCTTGAGATCGAAATAGGCTATCCCCCAGCAACTCCGAAGGTCAAACTTCTATGGTCCATGATGAATCAGTTGAAGCAGAACTATGACTACTGCGCTTGTCTAGCCCCACCATATCCACCGCCATATCCCATTTGAGCACCATGAGGTCCATTTGCCTGAGCTCCATAACCTCCAGCCCCATATCCTCCATGACCATTGGCATCACCATAGCCCCCTTGCATCTCTCCGCCACCACCAGCAGCATTGCTACCAGGGGCACCTCCAGCACGATTACCTACGCTACCATATCCATCGCTTCCACCATAATTACCATATCCATAGCCTTGGTTTCCATACCCAGAGGCTCCACTTGGAGATTGACCAGTTGGTCCACCACTTCCAGCACCAGCGGCCCAAGGACCTGCACTTCCATAGCCAGCTGCACCGTAACCAGAGGCTGCCTGCGCAGCATTCCATGAACTTCTTTGTGCATTGGCATTGGGGTTTCCATAAGCTGCAGCACTGGCAGGGCCACCATAGCCAGGATTTGCACCTCCGTATCCGGCATACCCACCATAGCCCATGCCAGTATTGGCAGGACCATATCCATAACCAGCTGCACCATAACCAGAAGAACCATAACCTGGAAACGCACCTCCTGCACTCTGAGATTGCATAAAACTATTAGAATCCATTCTGCCACCATATGCATTTTGGCCGCCACTAGAATTATAACCTCCACCGCCACCACGACCACCCATACCAGGGTTGGCATCCTTGGGTAGAGCACGCTTCACCTCAACTTGCTTACCATTTAAGTCATGGAAGGTATTCTGCAAAACTCTATCTACAGCATCCTCATTGTCAAAAGAAATGAATCCAAAACCTCGGGGTCTCTCTGTATTCTGGTCATACATTATAACTACATCAGTTACTTGGCCATAGTTCTCAAAATACTGTCGAAAACCATCGTCAGTCAAAGTAGGAGGCAACCCCCCAACAAAAATCTTCTTGGTTCTGAAGTTTCCTCCACCACCTCCGCTTCTACCACCATTGTTGTTTCCGGTTCTACCAGAGCTCTGTTGCTCCTCTCTCGACATAGCTCGTTTCGCCTCAACCTGGATTAAAGAAGAGCATTCCCCAAAAATTCAACTTACGATAGCATTCATCACATGCATTCACATACATTTTCGTTACACAATCCAATAAATACAAAAAATTGACTTTAGTTTAAATATAAGCAAACCCAATACAATAGATCAATACATCCAATAAAAAATAAAAATAAAAAAATAAAAAAAATAAAAAATAAAAAAACAAATCTGGATAAAACCCTAGGGAAAAAATTATGAATAAAACAGCAAAAAACATCATTCAGTACCAAAAATCATACAAAACCCATATCAAACAAGAAAAAATCAACCCAAATACAACAGTAATCCCAAATGAAACATCTGAATCCAATTAATCATAAAACCCTAAAAATCAAAAATTAACACAATACACAAGGAATTACATAAATTAAAGAAAACCCCATAAAATAAATGAAAAGAAAGAAGAACTTACAGGTCTACCATCAATGGTATGTTTATCCTGAAGAACACGATCGAGAACAGAAGGATCTGAAAAGAGAACAAACCCAAAACCTCTAGGTCTACCAGTAGCTTTATCTCTCATAATATTAACCTGATAAACATCACCATATTGTCCAAAATAATCTTTGAGCTTTTCTTCAGTGGTTTCCCATGAAATCCCACCAACAAACAACTTCCCTTGATCTGAATCCATTGATTTAAATGAATACCCTTTAGAGATTTGCTCCCCACTAATCTCTTTTCCCTGGAAATAAATTGATGGGGTTTTTGTGAAAAAGGGGGATTATGGATTTAGGAGAGAGAAAGTGGGGTGGAGAGAGATAAGGGTTTGGGGTGAACTGGTGAAGGGTTTGGAGGAAGAGAGAGAAAGTAAGTGGTGAAGGAAAGGGCGGATTTTGGGTGGTTTTTCAGAGTACGTGGGAAGTTGATGGGTGAGATTTTTTCTATTGACGGTCACGATTCTATGCTTGTTTTATTTAGGTTATTTTGGTGGATTGATTGATAGAGGGTGCATCCGTGCATGTATGCAATGTTTTAGCTGGGTGCTATGACAGACTGATAATTACTCCTACTTTGTAGACGATTAGGGTTGTACACATGTTTTAAAACGGATTGTAATTAACTGTGTGTTATAATTAGGTGCATAGTAGACGACTAGGGTTGTTTGGACTGGCATTGACATGATAGTGAATTGATTGATGGAGGGTGCATGTAAGCAATGTTTTAGCTTGGTGCTAAGACAGATTGCTAACTACTCTGTAGATGATTAGGGTTGTACACAATTTTAAAACGGATTGGAATTAACTATGGGCTATCATTAGGTGCATAGTAGACGACTAGGATTGTTTGGACTAATATTGACATGTTGGTTAGCTATGGATTATAATTAGGCGCATAGTAGACCACTTGGGTTGTTTGGACTGACATTGACAAGTTGGTTAGCTATGGTTTATAAGTAGGTGTATAGTGGACAATTGGGGTTGAGCACATGTTTAAAATCGAATTGGAATTGACAATGATGGTTGAGTTTTAGCATTGGAATCGACCATAATAGTTGATTGTGTATTATGTAGCATTGGAGTCGACCATGTTGGTTGATCGTAGATTATTTATTAAGTGCATCCTATATGACTAGGGTTGTGCACACATTTAAAATTGGGCTGGAATCACCATGATGCCTAACTATGAATTGAACTAGAAAAATTATCTACTCGTAATGGTTTGGTGTAGATGAAATTTATATGAAAATTAGGGGTTATGCAATGTGTATAGGAGGAGAATAGGGGTTGGTGGATACCTACCTTTTTCGACAAGTAAGAGTAGTTGTTATGTCGTGGAGTAAATTTCCCCTGTACGCTTTTTAGAATGTCGTGGAGTAAGGTCTTTCTCTCAAGCATTGACTTGTATAGATAGATTGTGTTAACTAAACTATAAGGGGTGATAAGAGTGTTTGTAATATAGCATGTATCAAAGATGAAATTTAATAATATAACAGAACTTTAAGACATCACTTTTAATTGCTTTTCTATACTCATTTTGAGATAGTAAGATATACTAGTAGATAAAATTTCCCTTCTTACCTAGCTAGTATTAGCGAAACTCATTAAGGGGTCGTTTGGTAAGATCATTTGGCATTGGTTGGAATGAAGTTATAATCCATTCCATCCATATTTTTTTTGTTTGGTTGAGGTTTTTAGTAATGGAATCTCATACCTGAGGGGTTCTAATTTCCTCCTCCCTATCCCTCCTCCTCCTAAGATTCACAATAATCCATTCTAACAATAAAACCAAACAACTTTCCCTCCTCATAAGATTCACAATAATCCATTCTAACAATAAAACCAAACAACTTTGGACTAGTATGAGTTTTAGATCCACACCTCTCTAATATGAGATTTCAAACCAATCAATTCCAACTTGATGAACCAAACACCTCCTAAAACTCAAACCTATTTAGGGGATAAAGAACAACTTTACTCGTGATTTGGTGTTGTTTTCCGTCTTATTGCTCTAGTCTTTAGTTCCAAATACCCATGACTAAAGGGCGTGTTCGGCACTAGCTTTTGATTAGCTTTTAGGTAGCTTTTAGTGGTTTGACTTATTCAAACCACTACATAGAAAAAATTATGAGTGTTTGGGAATGTAGTGGTGGGGGTACAATTTAGTGGTTGAAGTAGCTTTTGTGAAAAGTTAACATTATTAACTTTTATAAAAAGTTAGGTACCTGTTGAATTTTCTTCTATTTTTTTAGAATTTTACAGGTAACACCTAGTTTACCAAACACTGATACTGAATTATTTATTTTCACAGCTAAAAGCTAGTTGACAGCTAACAACTACACATCACAGCTAACAACCACCATCACAGCTAACAGTTAACTCTACAGCTTCATTTTGCCTAACACACCATAAAGCTGAAACCGATTTAATTTTGAATACGTACAACACCGATTAATTTTATTAAAAACAAGTCATTATATTTTTAATACTCATGTATATATATACAGCATATAACCAAAAGCAAAGTTAACTACATTGTTATCGACGACGTGGAATTTATTGCTTCTCAACTTTGTTTATTTATTACTCTGTCATATACTATGGGCCTGTTCTGATTTACTGAATTAATCTGAACTAAACTAAATTGATTGGAGCGAGCTTAACTGAACTAAACTGTATTGAACTGAACTGAGTTGAAATGAATATTTTATGAGAAAAGAAAATTAGGAACTGAATTGAACTGAACTTAAATTAAGCTGAAGAAAACCGACCTTATATCACAAATCAATCAACAAATTTACCAAAAAGGTGGGATGATGCAATTTTTATAATAACATCAATAAATAGTCAATGTATCAATTGTTCAAACACAATCAATACTCCCTTTGTTTTCTTTTATTTTCATCAGTTTAACCGACATATTTGCCGAGATGCAACTTTGACTATTAATATCTTTAATTGTTAATTAGTAAAAATTATAACAAAATTATATTAAGAAACTAGACATTATGACAAATTTAATGATATATTATATAATGGCATTTATTTATTTTATAGAGGTGAAAAAATCAAGTCAACCATAATATGTAAATAGTGCAAAAATCAAAGTGATACATTAAAAAAAAAAAACAAAGGGAGTAAAACATAAAGCGCTAAGAGCAAGTTTAGCCCCAAGTCTTAAGACTTGGATGTGGCATCATTTTTGGTGGTCCCCATTGAAGATGATGTCATCAAATTCTTGTTAAGACTCACTAAGACTTACACAAATTTATCACTTTAGCCCTAAGACTTAAATATTTGACATATTATATATAGACAAGTGAAAAAAAGGAATAATAGAAATAAAAGTGAAGTGGGTCCCAATCTCAAGTTTTAAGTTGAGTCTTGAAATTTCAAGTCTCAACTTGAGACTTGCTTGAGATTTTTGAAGAAAAATGGGAAAAGTCTTAAGTATAAATCTTAAGACTCAAAATGATGATGTCACCCCAAGTCTTAAGACTTGGGGCTAAACTTGCTCTAATATTTGAGATAAATAAACACATGAGTTAGTGAGTTACAAAGAAACAACGAAGCACTAATTGACAATTGATTGCAAACAAGCTCAAAACTTGTATCTCATGCTTGCCTAGACTCCAAACCCCAATCAAGCCAATATTTTTGGTCGAAACCAAACCAACTTGAGTACTTGACCAAGACCACAATTTCACCCTCATTACTTGTGCAGACAATAAATAAATGTACTCCCTCCGTTTTCAAATATTTGCTCAACTTCTTTTTTTTTTTTCGACTGTTTTTAAATACTCTCTCCATTTCTTTATTTGAAAAGGTTTTACAATATTTAATCTATTTCTTCCACCTAGTGAACCCAACATAAATCATATTTTATTATTTCATAATCTCTATCCTTTACAGTTTGTTTGGATAAAGAAAGGGGAAGGAAAAGAAAGGGGTGAAAGAGAAGAGGAGGAGAGGGAAAGGAAGGGGAGGGAAGAATGATGAGTTTTCCTTCCAAATCTCTCCATTGTTGGAGGGATCAATTTCCTACATTTTAATCCTTCCATTTCTCTCCCCTCCAATTCCCTCCATTCCTCATTTGCTATCCAAATGAAAGATACTCCATCTCTCCATTTCTCTTCCCTTTTCTTTTCCTCCATTTCCTTCAATCCAAACACACCGTTAATTCTCTCCACTACTTTTGTTTTTTTATTCTTTCACCTACCCTACTACCTCCATATTTTATCACTTTCTCTAATTTCTCCTAAAAGTTCACGTATGGAGAAATGAAACAAGTATTTAAAAATAGACAGAGTATTTCAAAAGTGTAATCTCGTGAAAATCACGTGGGGGACACCAGTCAGCAACGGACTTCGACCTCCAGCTGTCTTAACTCATAAGCATCAACTTCTTCGGTACAAATGATTTTTATATTGCAATAATTTAACCCCTTAAACAAAACTAACACATTAATTTATTTTTAAAAAAATAACAGTAAAAAATCTTGACCGTTAAAAAAAAGAAAAATGAAAAAAAAAAAAAGAATCTCAGTGAATAGCAAAAACAATACTCCTTCCCCAATCCCCTTTCCTCCAAACCCTCCGCCTTGAACTCTTATCTCTCCTCCCAAACCCCCCAATCCTCTCTCTCTACTTTCTCTCTCTAGAAATTCTCCTCCATTTTCACCCAAAATCCAATTTTGATCAGGACCCATTAATTAATTTGAAGGTAGGAGAGAGAAAGAGGGAGAGGGGGGCAAAATTTTCATAAAAAAAGATGGATTCAGATCAAGGGAAGTTGTTTGTAGGTGGGATTTCATGGGAAACAACAGAGGAGAAGCTCAAAGAGTATTTTGGGCAATATGGTGATGTTTTTCAAGCTAATATTATGAGAGATAAAGCTACAGGTAGACCTAGAGGTTTTGGCTTTGTTCTTTTTTCAGATCCTTCTGTTATTGATCGTGTTCTTCAGGATAAACACACCATTGATGGCAGACCTGTAAGATCATTTGACTCTTTTTGATTGATTTTGTTGGTGTTCTTAAGATTAGTTGATTTGGGATGTTATTTCTTGTGCTGAATTTGATGGGTTATTAAGGGTTTTATGATTTTGATTTGTTTTTTGTCATTTTGTTTTTGGAATATTTTTGAAGTTGCTATACTTAAACTTAGCTTGAAATTTTGGCGTTTTATAGTCTTGGGTAATTGGATTAAGTTATGATCTCAAGTTTGCATGAAATTTTGTTGTTTTAGTATATTATGATGCACATGATGTTTGCTTGAGATGGTTCATTGTATAAGTATTTGGGGGAATGCCTTTGTTGAATTCAGGTCGAGGCGAAACGAGCTATGTCGAGAGAAGAGCAGCAGAATTCCGGAAGAGCTGGAAGCAACAATGGTGGTAGAAGTGGAGGTGGAGGGGGAAACTTCAGGACTAAGAAGATTTTTGTTGGGGGATTGCCTCCTACTGTAACTGATGAAGTATTTAGGGAATATTTTGAGAATTATGGCCAAGTAACTGATGTAGTTATAATGTATGATCAGAACACACGTAGACCTCGAGGTTTTGGATTCATTTCTTTTGACAGTGAGGATGCAGTAGATAGGGTTTTACAAAATACCTTTCATGATTTGAATGGTAAGCAAGTTGAGGTGAAGCGTGCTTTACCAAAAGATGCTAACCCTGGTATGGGTAGTCGTGGTAGTGGCGGTCTGAATGCTTTTGAAGGTAGAATGGATTCTAATAGATATATGCAACCTCAGAATGCTGGAGGTGCATTTCCACCTTATGGTTCTTCTGGTTATGGTGCAGCTGGTTATGGATATGGGCCTGCTAGTGGCATGGGTTATGGTGGGTATGCCGGGTATGGGGGAGCAAATCCTGGGTATGGTGGTCCTGCAAGTGCAGCTTATGGAAACCCTAATCTTTCAAATGCCCAAAGGAGTTCATGGAATGCACAGGCTGCCTCTGCTTATGGTGCAGCTGGGTATGGAAGTGCAGGTCCTTGGGCTGCTTCTGGTGCAGGAAGTGGACTAACTGGTCAATCTCCTAGTGGAGCGTCTGGGTATGGATATGGTAATTATGGTGGCAGTGATGGATATGGAAGTGTAGGAAATCGTGCTGGAGGTGCCCCTGGTAGTAATGCCTCTGCTGGTGGAGAGATGCAAGGGGGCTATGGTGATGCCAATGGTCATGGAGGATATGGGGCTGGAGGTTATGGAGCTCAAGTAAATGGACCTCTTGGTGCTCAGATGGGTTATGGTGGTGGATATGGTGGGGCTCGATAAGTGCAGCTGCAGTGGATTTGCTCCAAGCTGAATCATTGAAGCTTGCCCTTCCCAGTGGCAAGGCCCGCAAGGGGATAGCCTGTTCGGATCTCAAGCATACTGTTGGACTGGTTGGCTTGCTTTTATCCCAGTAGTTTGCTGTAGATTATCTTGCTATCCCTTTTTTTTTTTTTAAGTAATAATTAGTTTTTCGGAGTACTAGTTACTTCTTTTAACTACGTCCATTTGAGTGTAGTTTGGTATCTAGTGTGCTGTTTGATGTTTATTCGGTGTTACTACTGCTCTATTATTTCTCTAGTTTTTGAGTTGTATAAGCTTATATTATGTCTATGTTATTTGGTCGATATCTTCTATGCAGTTAACTGAGTTGCTAGTGTCTTTTACTTGCCTGAATGAATCAGGTCACCAGGAAAATATATGTGCATGCATTTCAAACAAGAATTAATCCTTTGTAGTTACCTTGTGTTTATCCTGTGAAGTAGATATCACAAAGATTTAGTGAAGCTTCTCGTACTGGTAGAGATTGGAGCTGTAGACAAGTTGGGTTGATCAGTTCGTAATGGATAGTGATAACGTAGTGGTAGTTGAAGCTTTAACACTGGCATAATCACTTTCTCCCTGTATTTGCCCTTGTGTTGTACAGGAGAGCTGCTCGATTTCTGAAGCAAGGTGGCTACATGCAGCTTAAAATCAGTTTCTGCCAGAGCTTTAAAACTTGCTGTCAGTTTTATTCTGATGAGAGATTGCATTTTGTGAGACTGATCAACCCAAGCGCGTGCTTTGTGGTTCTAATCTTCTATCAAATTGTGGTGAGCTGATGGAAATTTCTAAGCTGATCTCCATCTGGTATGTTGAGTTAAATTGAGGATATATTCTTCCTTGGTTTATCCTATTAGGAAAATTAGATAATCAAAGCTTTTTTTTTTTGTCATATAAAATAGAAAAAGGAGTGTTTTACATGGTTTATAATCCAAGTATATAGCTGCTTGTGGCAGTTGAAGTAGGATACAACCCTTTTCATCTGAGGAAGTCTCTCAAAATAGTTGATTAATATTAATTAGTTTCATAAGAAACTGCTTTGTCTTAGCGTTTTCTTTTAGTTTTCTGCAGATTGTTAATTGTTGAATCCATTGGATCTTCATGGTGTTTCGGATCATCATATATAATATATTGATGTTTCACATTACATTCATTTTTTCAAATTTATGTAATCAATTAGTTCATAGATTAAACCATGCCTCATAATTAAAGTTCCTTTTATTTTGGTTGATTGGAAGTTATATGAGGTATCCTTCATAGATCTTAGTAGCTAAAGCTGACGTTTATTGGTGTGATTGTGGCCTTGTGGGTAATATGAATGTGTGATCATGATCTGGGTAGATTAATGAATGATTTTGGACACGTATTGTTTAAGCAGTTACTTAGGCTTAGTATCCGGACTTGAGAATCCCAATATGATATCTGTATGTGGAATGATGTCTGGAATCGTAGGTGATATGAAGACTGGTAACCTAATGTACTTACTTTGAGATTGTACATGTTATATTTAGAACTTTCAATATGTCGGGGTTGTAAGGGTAAATACCTTGAATTTAGGGTATTGCAATACGTCTTCTGAAGTCCTGTCATCTTCTGTTTGATTGGGTAGAGTTGATGAGAGACAAAGTTGACATACCAAAATGTAGTGGTTGTGAGTAGGGGTGTGCAAAAATTCAGGTTACCTTGACCTAGAGCTGGAACTTGCTAGGAACCTCATGTTCCGGGTAATAAAATTGAGAATCTGGTGCAACAGGTTTTGGTTTTTGGGTAATAAAATTTTGGACCCGGAACCTTTAGGTTCCCTCTAGGGTACATGAAACCGGAACCTATCATTGAAGTCCAAATATAAAAGCCCTATACCAAATTTGTATAAAAGTCGCTACTTACCTCTCTCCCTCTTATTCTTTTTTCATCTTATTCTCAAAGGTTAATTTTGTATTCAATATTCCTAGACAATTACGTTATATTTGTAGTACTGTATTTAAGCTGTAAGCTTTTATTGTGAACATTTTTTTTGGTAACAATTTATCAAGTAACTATTAAACATACTTTGAAATACAGGATCGGAATCGAAACTTGCGGTTCCCAATTTTTAGGAACCTGTTGAACAGGTTTCGATTCCGGTTTTTATTTTTAGGAACTTGTTGCAACAGGTTCTAGTTCCGGAGATTTTTAAAGGGTATCTTGCTACGCTCACCCTAGTTGTGAGTGTAAAGTGGCAGTCCTTACGGTTACTGTATTGGGCAAAACTCACGTGGACAACCCAAAAAGAAAATAGAGGCAAATCAACAGAGACGGAAGGAGTACTACCTATGAAGTGATGCAGATTGATGACATTAGGACTTGGTTATAGGCCTTATAATTAAGGTGATAAACGTCATTTTTGTATAATTAAGGTGACTAAATGAAAACTGATAGAGACTTGTGTCTGATTTCTCCCATTAAACACAACAAAATGACGTTGGATAGCAGTGTAGTGTGTTATAGCTTACGTAGTTTATATTGATAATCTAGTGTACAGTACTACGTAAGGACTAAGCTTAAGAGATAATGTAATTTACACACTTCCAAAGTTCTTTTGTCGCCTAATAACTCAAATTACGGTTTTCTGTGTGATTATATAAGATGCAATCAATTCAGATGACGTAATTGTAACTAACACTATCAATTTCAGTACAATTGATGAATCCCATCTCAATAGTATATTTAGAATTGTCATCGTGACCTACATTTTGTGGTTAGGTGACACATTGATCATATCATAACAATGGCCATTCTAAATATTCATACTCTTATTTTTTTATGGTACTTTTACTTTGGTTAAATTATTTATTGGATTTTGTTTACTACCTCTGTTTCACAGTTGTTGCAAATTTGAAGGGTGCACGGACTTCTAGGCAAAGTTTGTTTGTAAGTTAGAGAGAAAAATAGAAATGCATGTGATGAAGAGAGAGATAGAGAGAAATGATGAACTAAAAAGGAATAAAATTTTAGGTAAGTAATTTGAGCTTGTTCATGTATTTGAATAACAAAAGCGAGCAGCCTAAAATTTCTGGGTTTTTTTTTTTTTTTTTTTTGGCTCGATTTGGTTCAGCTTAGGACCTTTAATTGTTCCTTGTGTTTACCCTTGAGTAACATCTGCATAATCAATGTATGCAGTTTCTATCTTAATTGATGTTTGAATGATCACACTGATATTTTCAATGTACAACCTCATTTGAGGAAGCTGTGAAGCTCTCTTAAAAATTGAATCAATCAATGGAACTAATAGAGTGCCAGGAATTCTAGCAAATGGTAATGCAATCTCAAATGTGAAACGAAAAATGGTCGACGCTAAGGGTGTTCTGCACCATGAAGCGTGAAATGATCTGATGAACGCTTGTACCGAGTTCAATGAGGTAAGGGTGTGCCTGCAAATGGATCACCAAATGCAGCGAGATTTCCAGGTCGCGAAAATACAATCTGCAGTACACCAGACCTCAAGTTAATGATACATTTCAAAACGGCTCTTTGTTAGCATATCAGCAAAATAAAGGACATGGTATGTTCTTTCTTTTACCTGGTAATTCCCTAATGTCCGTGTCTTGAATCCTGCTGCACAATAGTCAAAATAGTACTCCCATGTTCTTATGAATTTCTCGTCGAAGCCAAGTGAACGAATTTTGCTGGAGATCCAGAAGTAAAAGTAGTTTAGCAGTAATAGCTAGTAGAAGAAAGGCCGGAGTGAGTAGAGGTGACTGACTAACCTCTGATGCTCTAGAAAATTTTTTCGCCAGCATCTTAGTGTTTGATAGTAGTGTATCCCAATGTTTTCTATGTGCTCCACACTACACAGTAAGCAGTTTTGAGTATACACAATTGGTTTCTTTCTTTGTTTTATCACATATATCTTAAGTTTTCGCTAGTTTGCACATACCAAAGTCGAGAGGCAGCAGCCATTGCTGATGTTACTCTGCTCAAGCAAGGTAGACATCCGCCTGGGAATATGTATTCTTTAATGAAATCTGAGCTTCTCCTGTATTCATCATACCGGTCATCCGGTATAGATATGAACTGAAGAATAGCAACTGCATCTCTTAGCAAGATAAATGAAACAAGCAGGAAGTTCTAAGAGGCTAACAGATAACATGAATCTTCTCTATTGAGCTCATGTGTGCTATTACCTGAAGGACAAGAAGACCGTTAACTGCCAAGATGGATTCGGAACAATGGAAAAATTCCTCCATGAATTCATGGCCTACGGCTTCAAGCATCTCACTGTGCAATATGTAGCAGCATATAAATTTTTTTCAAAAAAAATAAAGATGATACTAACCAACAAAGAGCTAAGCCAGGAAGGGCTTAAGGTCTTACCAGGAGATAATTCTGTCAAATTTATGGGTGCCTGGCAATTGACGATAATCACAGAGAAGAAATCTTATACGATCCTGTGCAAGCTCATGTTAGATTGAAGCAAGAGAAAGAAAGCATAGTATACACTATACAATGTAACATGTTAAAGATGCAATTGAAACATTCGCCACTGCATCACTGAGGTAATATCCTGGTGCTAATAACAGACTGTATTACCTGTAAACCAGCCTCTTGTACCCTTTGTTCTGCATATATGAGTTGTTCTTCTGAAAGAGTAATGCCAGTATATCTGCATCCAGTTCTCTTCACCACTTCGATAGCTAGGCTACCCCAACCACAACCGATCTCAAGCACCTCATGATGTTTCTCTACCCTGGCCTACATCGATGTACTGATAAAATTTAGCTGATGGATAAAAGTTCATGGAGTAATTATGAAACTGCAGGAGACGAGGCTTATTACCTTTTCGAGTAAAAGAGAGATTTTCCTCATTTGTGCAACTTTTAAGTCTTCATTTGCAGACTATTAAATATTGAGAATCATGGGAAGAACAGTTATAAATTGGAGACACTTAGTAACAACAGAGTTTATGTTTTGATACTAAACACTGATTGTGTTGGAGACTTTAGTTCTGACCTCAAAGACAGCACAAGAGTAAGTCATTGTCTCGTCCAAAAAGAGGGAAAACATTTCGTTGCTCTGATATAAAAAAATAGATGAGGAAACGTTAGAAGCCGATATATGTTGCAAGCTAAGCATGATCATGTCAAGTACAAGCCTCAATAGATTGGCCAGCTTCTCATACCAAGTCATAGTGGCGAGAAATATTTCGACGAGCTTGTGTTAGTGTATTTTGCCTAGAAACATGATAGTAGAAATACTTTGCAGATGCAATACCAGCAGTGAAAAGCATTGGTGTCCACCAGCCCCTGAAACCGTTTCATCATTGAAAATTTTAAACCAAAGTTGAAGTATATAACCTGTTCAATGATACCTAAAGATGTAGGCAAGGAATTGATCATGCTTCCATTTAAGCAGACTTACCTCTTTTTGCTGATTTGTGAAGCAGAAGAATTTGAATCTCTGTTGGCAATAAAGATCTGCACAAGGAATTCGGAAAAAACCGCAATAATGCAGTATGGACTATAGAGTACTATCTTGACACGAAAACAGAAATGGCTATATTACCATGAAAAGGTTAAGAAGACCATCATTTTTGTCAACAAAGGAGAAGTCTCCATTAATAAATGCATCTGCAAGGCCTAAATCTGCCTGTGTAGCTACCTGCAAGAAGATATCTGAGTTCATCAGTTCTGTATATAGCTACTGTCTGCTCGATTAAAAGTTAACATATACGCAATACTATTTTAGAATGTCCGAATGGTAAATTAACATACTAGTTTATGTTTTTCTCCCTACTCTGTGTAGTACAGCAATGGTTCGGAGGGACTAGACATGAAACTCAAGAAGCATACCTTCCAGTAAAACTGAGGGCTGTGAACTCTTATAGCAACTTTCAAAGGACATCTTTTGCTCGAGCCTTCAAATTTCAAAATAGTGCCACCCTCCTCCAATAAACTGTCATAAGACAAGCTAAGGTTATTAAGAGCAGAAACAAGAAGATAGCATTTCAGAACTCCATTTATTGTCACACTTATTTTGTTCAACCTCAATCAGACGATCATTTGTAAGCCTAACAAGAGCAAGTACTATACTACAAGCACAAGCACAAGCACAAGCACAAGCACAAGCACAAGCACAAAACGATAACAGATAGAGAAATGGATGTGAAATGTAGATTAATGAACTTACATCAAACAGCCAGCTGAAATAAAGCCGTTGAGGAATCTAGTTACCAAAAGTCTAGCAGCTGTTTCTGTCAAAGAAGGCACCATCTGTTTCGGGTTTGTTAGAATGTTGAAGCTTTTTCCAAGCACACCTTGTGCAGCAACCATGCCAGCCTAAAAAATAACACCTTACATATCTTCAGAAACTCAACTAGTTCACCTATGTATAGCAAGAACAACATTGTCTTATCCACTCTAATGTGATCTGCCTCGTCTAGGAGAGGGTAAGGTAAGGTGCTCACTGCCTTAACCCTGTATCAAATTTATTACGCAAATTGTTCTCGAGCAGTACTAATTATGTCAAAAGAAAAGCAGAAATATACCTTCAATCCATCCTCATGGAAGCCATAGCCTGAAATAAAGAAAAAGGAGTAATAAGAACAATTGATTTGAAATTTATACAACCTTTTCTGGTCTAGACTACTGTAAGAATTTTTCGAGGCCTCACCAACCTTGATATGCTCCACAAAACCATATTCCTCTTGTTCCTTGAATATTACCAAGGTCAAGGGAAGCCTTTGTTGCCGCGACAGAGGGTACAGGATGACCAGTTGTCCATTTAAGCAACATATTTTCTGGTTGATGAGGTGGATTAAGAGTCACAAGAAAAGGAAGGCTGGACTCGATATTCTGCATAGTTAAAAAACCAAGGAATGAATCCTAGGATGATCATTACAAAACTTACTCACTCAAATATCAAAACTGGTACAGGAAATAAAACAGAATTATATGTACCTGTAGTACATTTAGCCAGTATGTTAAACACAATTTGTTGTCAATGGTCCCAAGAAAATTCCATGCGCTCCACGCTGCTGGATTTTTGGGCATGAAATTTATATCACGATGGAGATATATATCACTGTGAATATGAAGTCCAAAACCATTGATTTCAATTAGTTAATATGAAAAAAAAAAAAAAAAGTTCAGCTTCAACATCTTATACATGATCCACACTTCATCAGAGAAAATAACGCGATCACAAGTGGATTTATCTTAATAACACAATGTCATTCATCTGTGTAAGTCGAAAAGAAAAGGAAATTGAACCTGTAAACATATTGGAATGCACCCAATATACTTCTTTCATCATATGTAGCTTGGTTTCCTAGCATTTGTATGGCATCTGGTGCATGAACAGCTATGATGCATCTGTCATATACGTCTTCTGAACCATCACTACATAACAAGGTACAACCTGCAAAAGAATTAATCCATGAATTTAAAATTGAGGCTCCGATAATTAGTCTCAAGTATGAGCTCAATCTGCTGCTGTTAGTATGAGTTGCAGTCTTTAATAACAAAGAGTTGTATTAAGCTAGATATAGTTTTGTTCATGTGACAACTTTAGAACTCGCGGATGCAAATCAAGACACCAACTAGACAGACATAATCTTAATATGCAGATCACGGTAATGAGTGATTTATTTAAGTCCTTGAAACGAAAACTGCAATTATAAACTGTTAAAACACAGGATCACCATGAATTTCTCTGTTTTTGTGTGGTCGTGGACTTAATAATGATTTGTCTACTCACCCTCATCACTCGTTGAAACAGAAATCACCTCACTACTGGTTTTTACTTGAACTCCTTGATTCTCTAGCTCCTCCCTAATCTGTAAGAGACATCGTAGATAGCATACCAATGATTACAAGCATTACAAGAGAAGGGTTACACCTTTGGTTTATAGATTAAAAGCTAGAATGAGACCTTATTTACATAACAATGTGAGCGCCCTTTCACAGTAAGCCATTGTGGACGGCCAAATAGCTGTCAGAAACAATTGTTCAGCTTATCAATGAGAAAGGCACAAATGTGCAATAGTATAATAGGTTGGTGAAATGAACCTGAAGCAAGTGGTGGTTACGACAGAAGGAAAGTATGGAGAAAGCCGAAAAGTTCATCACTGTCTCTGAAGGGCAAGACCAGATTGAAGCACACATCGGAACCTACAAATGTTAAGTAACAGGTCTTGATGAATAATGCATACAGAACACTGACATACACAAACAGAAATCGCGATGAAAACTTTTGTGAATCTTACAAGATAAGCCTTCTGAAACAACTCAGAGTAACCTCTAGACTTGATAAAATGGCCAAGAGTTTGAGTCCGATCCATCTCTGGGTTATTTTCAAGCTCTTCAAGGTACCTTAAGAGAAATTTGTCAATGCCATAAGTGAAAGCAATACTATAACTCATTTACTCTACAATGAAGTGCACGCCGCCTGTTATGGCTAGCTACACATAAGGCCATGTTCGTTTCACCTGCAGAACTGAACTGAACTGATGCAGAGTAATACTGATATTTTTTTTAATGATCACAACTGATTTTTATCGATTATTAATCAATTGACATTCATATTCTTCATAAAATTCGGCTTACTTAAAAGAGTCATGTTAAAAAAAAAAAACACAATGGCTTACATGATCACTTCATTCTTGAACTTGATGATTTCCTGGATCATTTTCCAAAAGTATGGATTTACTGCATTAGTTTTCTGAGCAAACAAACCACTTATACCATTTCGACTTCCCCATTCACATCCGCGGCCTTTATCTAAACTAACAGAAAATGACATATCAGAGTCCTCCATTTCAATGCCAAGGCTTTCAAAGAGCTCCATCATATTTGGATATGTAACCTGTTCAATGATATCATAATTTCCAATATTAGAGAATTCAAATCACATTATCATAGTTGATTAAACCATAATTTACTTGTCAAATTAAATTATCATATCAATTTTTCCTAAGAATCTTAGCATGTTGAACTTAAACTTTGTGATTGTAACCTTACATTAGATATTTAGTTCATTTTCCCAGCAATTCTTATTTCTTAAGAAGGAAGTATTAAGTTAGAGCTAGATGGGCCCAATTTATTTGAATTTGAGTTCAAATTTGGCCCAATTGGTCATGCCACTTTTAGAGACTTGACCCTAATTGATTTTTATTAATAAGAACAACTTATTGTAAGCTTTAAGTAGTCCATCTAATGATAAGGTTTGTACTTTGTATGAATTATATATCGTATATGACTTAATCTAGGGTGAGCTACCATTCTCAATGAATATGATTGACTACAAGAGTGTCCGTACTTAACTAAAGATACCTATAAAATAAAACTGTAAAAGATCGGGTCAAAATCAATTGGATCATCTATTCATCTTACATTCTTATTAACTTTTTTTTAAAAAAATTATAAACATGTTACACGATCGTCCAAAGGACCCCATCCAGTGAAGTTATTTTTAGCTTATTGTCAAAAATATTTAATTTACGTTAAGTCACTTTCAATATCTCTTTCTTTAGTCCAATAGAGAAGTTGATTAAGGGGACACATAAAAAAGAAAAGGACTTACCCGATTAAAGACCATAAAACCTAGGTCCAAGTCAATGCCATCAAAACGAACCGTTTTGGCATGTCCACCTAAATAATCTTCTTTCTCATACAACACCACATTTATTCCTGTTTTTGCAACTTCATATGCTGCTCCTAGTCCACTTATTCCTCCACCTACCACTGCAACTCTCATCTCTTTTTCTTCTTTATTTTCTGATTTTTCTAATTAAAAAAAAAAAAAATCAAATCCACAAATTAAATCACCATTAGTATAATAACACATTGGCAAATTAAGATTGTTACACATAGCTAATGCACCTTAATTTGGTATTTAAGCACAATTAACAATGGAAAACTGGGGAGGGGGGGGGGTTTGAAATAAATTCAAGGGGCGATACCAAGATTTGAACTCTTGACCTATTAGCTGGAGCAAATTAAAACTAGCTAGTTATACAATTTCACCAATGGTTATATTATGATGGTAAAAAAATGTGTAAGGGTTAGGCAACGGATATCTCTTAAAACTTCCACCACTAATGAGTAAATTTTATATTATAATAAAAGTGAATTTGTCGAAACTAAAAGTACATATAGATATAGGCAGTTACGAGTCTTATGACTGCTTAGAAAATTAAAAAGTTGTAAATTGTGATTAATGTATACAAGAAAGAGAAGATATAAACTTGAGACATCTTTGGATCAATACTTTCATTACAAAAATGAGAATTTATATGAATTCAACTATACATTTGCATTTATATATAAAATGAAAAATATAATATTTCCCAAAAAATAAAACCAATGTACATTACCTTAAAAAGTTGTAATAACTTCAAAGTTTAAGCGCAAACAACATACACCAATTCTGTAGTTTGGAATGAAAATGGAGTGTTATTATTGATTAATAATTTTGAAGGATAAGAAAAATCTTTGTGGCCTGCAAAAAACTTTAGAAATCACAAGAATGAAAGAAATATATACGACATATAGTGGGAAAAGATAAGCCAATAAGGACATTATTCATTGCATTGGGATGGGTCTACAATATTGCGATATGAAGAGATAGTAACTTTTTTAATGTGCTCATTTATACTTCTCACGCGCTCATGCCCAAATTTAAAGGTGCAAGTATGGTCGATCAGGTTGGGTTCAGTTCGACCAATGTAAATTTTCAGATTTGAATTGAAGTGATTTATATATGTACAGAGTATGTTTGTGTTTACTCGTTATAGTGAATACAGTATAAAATAGCATTTATCTTGTTCGGTTTTATTTTATTTTTTATTTTTTTCAACGGTTGTTTGGTTTAATTTATACCAGTGCAAAAAATGTAATTTGTATAATTTTGTCTTTAATCAATAAAATTAATTGTGCAAATAATCAATTGCAATCAATTATAATCAATGCTAATAAATAATACGGAGTACTCCATATTTTGCAATCAATACATTAAAATTACTTAAATTTAATTTGAATAATTAATTTCATTTTAGTAAGAATAAGTTACGGAGTAATTGATTATGCACTATATATACTTATATACACTAGACTAGTAAGGTAGCATACGTATTATAAAAAGGAAAAAAAAAAATATTTCTTCATAATTTACTTCAAATCAAATACAAATAAAAGTACCATAAAATATTGATACTCCTATTATTTAGGGTTATTATGTATTTTTAAATGTTAACAAAAAAAACAAAGTTGCTTCTCGTTATTAAAAAAAAAAAAGTTTACTTCTAGCTAACACATTGAAATTTTTTGACGTCATTCACCTCTTTGATTCTTTTTGTTTTCCTTAGTTTTTTTTTTTTTTTTTTTTTTTTAAATAAAATTAGTGCAAAATAATTAAAAAAAAAAAACTGAAGGAAGTAATATTTATAAAACAAATACATTGTATTGTCCGTACAATATTATTGATGAAAATATTTGATAAATAATTGTATTATGTATGATTACTATTTACTTTACTAAACAAACATCAAAATTGAACCAACTCGTGGCATGAAACGAAGTCTCAAAAATCAGTGACAAATAAAGCACCACGTAGGGCTTCTCTTATCCGATCCTATTATTGCCTACAAAGTACAAACTATTCCAAGATCCAAGTTGGTAGAAATGGTTGATTATAGAACTTCCCAATAAATCACAACGTTATTATTATTATTATTATTTTATTTTATTTTTTTTAATTTTTTTTTTGGGTTCAAGTTCTAATAATTGTGAACACATACATAGCAATTCAACGTGGTTCACGAGTAACCCCTTACGTGACCCATCCACGACTATATTATTTCCTCCTTATTTTAGTACTTGTATATTTTAGAGTTTTACATTTTCAATTTATCACATTCTCTTCTTAAACTTATAATTTGTGATTTATGGAATAAAAAAATGTAGACATTTAAAGATTACCAAGTATTCGATTGAGTAGTTGTTAAGGTATACCCTAAAGCTCAAAACTGTTAAACGAAGCCCAAAGCTATGAAGATTCGGGTTTCAAGTTTGAGTCGAGTGAAACATCATAATCACATTTCTTGGCTACTAGTGAACTAGTCCGATACAACTCATACAAGGTACTCTTGTACTCCCGTAAGTAATTAATATACAAGTAGTTACAATACAATGTACTCACTCAATCCCTTAAATTCGCCCCTTATTCCAACGTTCACTTTGATAACTCTTTCAAGTATGTGACAAGAAAAATAGGTTGATGCGATTCTATTGACAACAATTTAGAGAGGGTGGTGTGATAGGGTGATGATTGATTGAGTTGATGATAGGATTGGGCTTGATGAGTCCTCCCCTTCTTGGGCCCTTATTTACCTCTAGACTTTTCCCTTGATCAATAGTACGATCAAAAAAGACATTTTTTAAACTAAGAGTGTATATCAACTTCCTTTATGATTTTAGGGCATGTTCTCATTGACTGAATTGAATTGAACTATATTGAACTGAAATGAATTGAGCTGAACTAAACTGAGCTGAAATGAATATTTTATAAGAGAAAGAAATTAGGAGTTGAACTGAATTGAACTGAGCTGAACTGAATTTCAACGTATGAGAAGAGGCCCTTAAACTAAGAGTGTATATCAACTTCCTTTATGATTATCACGATAAACTGGAGTTTCCTCGAATATGGGAAAATCTCTTACATGTATGTGGGTAAATTTCACTTATAGTTAAATTAAATGTGAAAATAGTAAGATTTAGAAGTTTACTTATTATTTTAGAGCTAACATATATATTAAATTAAAAAATTGGTGTTATAATTAAACTTTTATATCGGAGTCTTTTTTTGGATTACTTACTTTTATACTATAATATAATGAAATCTATATTTCAATTACTACTCCATATCAATTTTTAAAACCGGCATGTCTTGGACATTATTTAGTAAGAGTATAATTTTTGTACACACTATATGTAACTATTCTTTTAATACCTAGAAAAATTGAATACACATGTTTAAAATATTGTTGTACTTCGTATCAGTATTACTCCATCATTTACCACATCCGTTTCATATTATTTGCAACGATTAGATATTTTTCTCTTTATTTTATGTCAAATCGTTGCAAATAATATAAAACGGAGGTAGTATATACGTTTCCATCATGTTTATAGATTGCTAACTAATTGTTACCTCAAAAAAGAAAGAAAAAAAAATGTTCCCTTGTTCTATCTATTTCTTCTTTTGCTACTTGACCTTGCATTGTATGTGTTTGCGTGAACTCTTTTTGAGTTAACATGAAAGTCCTAAAAATATATCTATACTTTTTCCACTTTTGCAAAAAAAAATGACAGTTACAATGTTGCAATATAATATTCATATTATAATGAAAAGCATGCATAAATCTTGTTACTATCCTACATTTAAGGAGAACAAACACTTGGATTTCTTAATGAATTTGCTATGTATGTCAACATCATAATTAACACCTTTACTTTCCTCATTTTCCTCAAAAAATTCAACGTTGTTTTATCATGTCAAAATTAACCATCAAACACTTGTATGCTAATCTCTCTTCCCATAATAATGTCTTTCTTTGTCCATGCTCAAAATTGTTGTCATATCCCACAATACAGCTAGCCCACCCATATTTTTTCATACACACTTTTTTTAAGGGAAATGCTCTATCTCTTCCTCCCCTTTTGTCACGCCGGATAATTGACGTCGATTCGTGTCGTTCGAGTCCGACTACCACCCCTCGAGTTGGTCTTGTCCCACCCCACCCCTACTAGACCCCCCATTGATGGGTTACCAAAGCCGCCGCGACTCCCAACCAAATCTACCCTCTCACCAACGCCAAGGATCATCATGCTCCACCCAAGACCTAAACGTTGACCTTACATGGCCGTTTGGAAAGCTCAATGGGGTCGATAAGGATGACATTCGTGAGACTGCCTACGAGGTGTTTTTCACCTCGTGCAGGTCTTCCCCCGGGTTTGGGGGAAGAACTGCCTTGGCATTCTATTCACATAACAACAACAACAACAACAACAACAGCAACAACAACGACCATTATGATAATAATAATAATAATGGTCATGTTAATAATAACAATGGTCCAGGGTCTCCAAGTTCACCAGGGTCAACGCGCGGCAATGGGGTGGGGATGGTGACAAATAGTAAGATAAAGAGGGCGTTGGGATTGCGGACTCTTAAGCGAATGCCTTCTAGGAGATCATCCCTTGGCGGAGCCGTGGGTGCCACGGGGTCTAACTCGGGTGCCGGTCCATCTTCACCTCATGCTTATGGACATGTTGTGCATTCACATAGTGCTAGTATCCCCGGGATTTCATTCACCGTGCCTAGTAGAACGTCTCGAAAACCTCTAACATCCGCGGAGATCATGAGGCTACAAATGAGGGTCACTGAACAAGGTGATAATAGGCTTCGTAAGACGCTTATGAGAACTCTTGTTGGCCAAGTATGTACTATATTTATCTATGTTCTTTACATTATTCACCCTTATTCACCAACATAATGCATTGCTACCCCTTTTTTTCTTTCATTTTTTCAATTCTCCCTCGTTTATAATAAGTAGATGATGTTCATCAGTGGCGGAGCTAAAAACTTTCATTAATTATATAGACGCGTTTATATTGTAAAGGTTCAAATCTCGACTATATGTATTGCTAAGGACACGTATGTACACCTTTTTTGACCCATTACATAACATCTAATAATTTTGTCAACAAATTAAGCTAAATGTTTTTGACAATATTCCTAATATACAAAGGAGTATACAGTAAACTAAAGAAACTAACATATTATGTGCAACTTATAATATGTAGCAGAGGTAATATATTTATTTGTCTAATATGAAAGTGCATTTTAATGCTTGTTTTGACATGGATGAGAAACAAATCGGGACTATAGGCTATTAAATTACAATCTAGAAAATTCAGAGCATGAAAATATATTATGATCAAATTGTATTACATTAGTTGTTTAACATTTAGTGTGAGCTATATATGTTAAAAACTTTGGTTGAATTTAATTTGTAACAGATGGGCAGACGAGCAGAGACAATAATCCTTCCACTTGAGCTACTTCGACACTTAAAACCATCAGAATTTCGAGATCATGCAGAGTACCATTTTTGGCAAAAAAGACAGTTAAAGATTCTCGAAACAGGACTAATTCTCAATCCATCTATCCCACTTGAGCAACGTAACTCTTGTGCTACGAAATTAAGAGAGATCATACGACTCAATGAAGACAAACCAATTGACACAAGTAAAAATTCAGAAACAATGAAACAATTATGCAACTGTGTGTTGTCCTTGGCTTGGCGTGGGGCGAACGGCAATCCTACTGATGTATGTCATTGGGCTGATGGACACCCACTCAATCTACACCTTTACATTGCATTACTACATTCGATTTTTGACATTAAAGACGAGACTGGTGTTTTAGATGAAGTCGACGAGTTGATGGAGTTGATGAAAAAGACATGGACTACCTTTGGGATTACTAGGCCTGTCCACAATTTGTGCTTCACTTGGGTACTTTTCCAACAATACGTCGTAAAAGGGCAGACTGAACCTGATCTTTTATGCGCGACATTAACTATGTTGGTTGAGGTGGCTAATGATGCTAAGAAGCCGGGAGATAGAGAGGAGGCTTATGTGAAAACATTGGCCTCTGTAATGAACTCGATTATTGGATGGTCAGAAAAGAAACTACTTAATTATCATGAGGGAGTCTGTAAGAGTAATGCTCATGTAATCATGGAGAATCTACTCCCTTTGGTCTTGCAGGCGAGGAAGATATTGGATGAAGATGTATCCGCTACCATTGCTGCTAGGCAAGAACAAGGAGAGGGGACGAAGGATACACATGAGTTGTCTGGTAATCGAGTTGATTACTATATTCGTTCCTCACTACGAAATTCATTCT